CATTCCACGCAGCACCATCATCAATGTCATCACAACCGCCATTATCACCATCATCATCATCACAACCACGATCATCACAACCAGCACCATCATCATCATTATCATCATAGTCATCACAACAGCCATCCAATGTCACCATAACCACAGTCATCACAACCGCCATCAATACCACCACCATCACCACCACCATCACAACCAGCACCACCATCATCACTATCATCGCAGTCACCGTCATCAGTCATCATCAATATCATCATCACCATCATCACAACCAGCACCACCATCATCACTATCATCGCTGTCACCATCATCAGTCATCAATATCATCATCACCATCATCACAACCAGCACCACCATCATCACTATCATCGCTGTCACCATCATCAGTCATCAATATCATCATCACAACCAGCACCACCATCATCACTATCATCGCTGTCACCATCATCAGTCATCATCAATGTCATCATCACCATCATCATCACCACCATGCCATGTGTGCGGCAGTAATGTGACCTTTGAGAAACGTGAGCACGTGGTCTTATCCCACCGAGGTGCGCTGGGTGGCGTACAGTTGAGCACGTGTTTGTCGCGTGCTCCACTACACGGTGTGAGTGGACGTTCGTAAGGGTATGTTTGTATGATTAGTGTGTATACAAGTATGAGTATGTATAATAATTAGTGTGTATTCTAGTAAGAGTATGTATTATTAGTGTGTATGAAAGTCAGAGTGTTTTTGTTATGAGTGTGTATGCCAGTAAGAGTATGTTGATGTGTGCGGCTGTATTGATAAAACAGTATATATGTGTTCGGACTGTTTACGAGTATGTTGTTTTGTGTGTTTGTTGATGCGTGGGCGAGACATCAGGCACTTGCCCCCACAAGGTGGTTAAGGCTATACGGGGGATCTTTGTCTCGCCTTTGTCTCTTGAATGCATTGTTAGCGTCCGTGGGGAGCGGTGGCGCAACGGTTAGCGCCAAGAAACCGGCCACCCCAGTTCCTGACCAATGGGCATCGCATATTTGAACCTCTCTTGGTGAACTCAGCCTTAAATGAGCACCTGGCGCAGTTGTGAACATCGCCACCGGGGAGACAAAGGCGGCCCGGCGTGGTGCTGGCCACCCACCCCCCGTAGCACCGTTCTGGCCTTCATAGGTGCTACTCGCTAACAGCACTTGCCCCAACAGTCTGTTCAGGCTATCCGGGGGATCTTTGTCTTTGCATACGTGAGTGGATTCGAGCGATGAAGATATGCTTGTGAGTAATCGTGTAAATCCTTGTCTCAACTGCTGGAGGACGGTCTCGCCTCGCGGCTTAGTATCGAGACATACTTCACCACGATGGCCAATGCGAATTAGCGAAGGCCAGGAAGCGTGGCCTGTGTAGTGCGTGGGAGCATAGACGCACAGTACAACAATGACATTTTTGTAACTACCCTCTGCTGACGTGAGGCCCTCTGCTGTCCAGAAACTGCTAGTGTATATGAGTACACGGTGGAGATGTATATTAGTATGTGTGTATGTATGCATTTGAAAAAAAACCCGCCACTTTTTTCAAATTTTCTTGCTGTGGTTTTCACACCTGATGATGATTGCTTGTGTTGCAGTCGAAACGTCGTGGGAATTGTATTGTTTTATATTTTTATTATTTTATTGTTTCCCTTCTACGTGACTTTACCGAAAGAACCAAGAATATGAATCCCTGCAGTCACGAAAGCTTTAAATAAAAATTCTATATTTAAAGTTGCGCATTTTATGTGACGTCACATTTCTCAACCCCCCCCCAGGTGCGTGACGTCATTTATGGACGGCCCCTTAGTTACCACGGCGCCATCCGGATGATATAACGACGACGAAGATGATGATTGTTGGCTGAGTTGACCCCAAGCGAAATTTGAAACCCCGATGTTCGAACCTAAGATCTCAGCAGTGCAGGGCCTGGTCCACCAACCCATCCCCCCCGAGTCTGCCGGGGCCAACTCCGGACGAGTGGATTCAATGAGTTTGTCCGTAACTCATACCTGTCATCCCCTTATCAGTTGCCCTACCTTATCACAGACCAATTCAGACCTTATTGGTCACCCCGTGCCCCTTATAAATCTCAACGTTCATGCTACAAAGTTCCATCACAAGGGAGAAACACAAACACACGAACAAAAAATGTGTTGCCCGCATTTGAAACGGCTGTACGTTGTATGGACCTGAAAACTCAAATTTCCCCTGTACAAGAATCCGGAGTAAACCGTGTGGGTTGACACGGTATGGAGGAAGCCTACCTGGCGCACGGTGGGAGTCAGCTGGATGAGAATGGGCACAGTTTAGTGGGGAACAAGAAACCCAATCAGCTTTTAATAAATGATGACGCCCAGCACGCCAGAGTTAAATCTTCCTCCTTCTATTCTTAGTAACGGCGAGGCAGCGGAAGCGACCCCTCTCTGTATGCAATTACAGTCAGAATCGGAATATTCATGCTGGAGGAATCCGATGAGCTATAAAGCTCTTTTTCACATGTCCAAAGTGGGATAGCCACCCGCCGGTGAAGACACAAGCCGCGGGTGGGGGGGGGGGGGTCAAGATGACAGATACATTTTTTTATTCGGCGAAATACCAAATGTATCGGGCAGGCAAATCTGATTAGAACTTGTCGAAGAAAAAGTTTTGCTGGCTGGCAGGCGCGCGAACGTTCAAGTGCACCATGGACTTCAACCCACCACCACCACGCCCCCGGCTTTTGTATTCCCAAGCAAATGCGTGAGCAGTTGCTAAGCCTGAATTAAAAAAAATGCCTCTTGAATTCAGAAAACATTATTATTGGAACAGCTTTGGGGGGGGGGGGGGGGGGGGAGAGACGATGATGATGGGAGGGAATTTCAAAGTGAAGCATTCCAACGGGATGAAGGAGAATCAAGTGTCGTGCCTTGCAGTGCGCGGCGAGTTTGGTGTCTGTTGTGACCTGCGGCGTTGCCGTGAACACAAAATCAGAAAACTTGTTTCCACTGGGGGAATCCGATGAGCTCCGAAGCTCTTATTTCTTTCACAGATGTCCAGTAGGCCGAGACGAATCTGCCCGGGTAGACGAGAGTTCCTCAACGCGGGTTGGCGAAATGAAGGCGTGAAGCTCACGGCAGCAGTCGCCACGGTGGCGGCAGCAGCAGCGATAGAAGAGTGACAGGGAGGAGGTGGACTGAATACGCGACGGTGAACGAGCGTAACGCTGACTCGGGAGAGCCTCGAGGTGCTGCTCTCGTTTGAGAGTCTTTTTATACTTTTGAGAATGTTTGGTGTTAGGGGGGGGGGCGCTGTTGTTGCCCGCCACACCACTGAGCTCATCGCACGACGGATGAAGGTGCCACCACCTCTGTGCTACAACAACAACTGGGACGCTGTCTGGGTAGAAGAGAATCTCGCAGTCGCAGAACAGCGTGGTATTATTGCATTGTCGTGAGTGATGCACCATTATTATGATGCAATTGACAACAAAAAAACAGGGACCTTTAGTAATGTCTACCAGTTTAACACGTAGGCTTTCGCGGCCAATTTCATCTATTATATAGGGTTTTTTAGGGGGGGTATATCGCTTCAATATAAATGGATAGGCATTGTAATTCATACGCATTAATTATCCCCCCCCCCTTCGCACGTGAAGGGCTCACAAGTGACGTCATCACACCTATCCCTCTGTTTAAGGAACGAAACAGGAGGATTTCTCGACAAATCTGGCTTTCGCCTGATGAAGCTAGTTGTAATTACTGGCGAAACGTCGTGCTCAGATTGTAAATGTCGTAGATTTGCTCTCCAACACACCGGTGTGCTGTACGAGTAACGAATTGCCACGCTCTATTTACGTGACCTCTTACTAAATTGGCTGTGTTGAGTGGTGGCGGGTTTAATGACACATTTATACATTTACGCAATCTAACCCCCCCCGCCCCCCCCCCCCCCCCCCTATATTATGTCTACCAGATTTCCCAAGGATTACGATTGTGGGAAAACCCCAGGGCATGTGGCGCGGCAATCCTATTGTCTCGCAGCAGTCAATCCACTGCTGCGAGAAAACGCCGCGCGGGTTCACTGACCATACTTCACCACGCAGGGCAGTGGCGGGTTGGTGGTGGTGCTGTGGCAGCCCTGTGAACCCGGCGACACGAGTTCGATTCCCGCTCACGCCTAACACCGGTGACGATTATCTGAACCGGTGCTGGGCCTCCCCGAGGTCGGTTCGGCCTCAAATGAGTACCCTGGTGCGGTGCGTAAAAAACATCGCCATTGGGGAGACAAAGGCGGCCGGGCTTGGTGTTGGCCACCCATCCCCTCGTGTGCCGTTCCGGCCTTCACAGGTGCTACTCGCAAACAGCACTTGTCCCAGCAGTCTGATAAGGCTACACGGGGGGGTCTTTATATTTGGGGGGTTGTGCAGTACCAAGCATTCGACTACCCTCTGCTGCACACCAGACCTGGGTATTATGCACGGTGGTCACTGCATCCTGCCCAACGAATACATTGTAAGGTCTGAGTCATCACACACGAAAGTGCTTGCCACAGAAGGAGCATACATCCACCAGCACATGAACTCCGGTCACCGCTCAGAGCAGCGGCTGTTGGCACAGCCATGGTCACCGCACCGCGCGCTTTCAGATGCGCTTCTGCGGCCGTCTGGAACGCTCTTCCGATATTCGGAAGCCCACTGCAGCTTTGCACTCTAAAATGGATAACTGAGTTATTTAGAACAGATTTTAGTGTGTTTAGTTTGCTCTTCCCCTGCACCGCCGACCACAGTGCGGTTGGCTACGTGCGGTGCGGAAGAAGTTCAACGTACGTACATCGGAACCCTGTCCAGGCTAAAATAAACCCGGCTTAGCTTTCGAGGCGCGATGGACTCGAGTGCACGCCGGTTGACGTGGGGCAGCAGACGTTTGTTTTCGTTTGTTTTGCGCCAGAGCCCCCCGCGATCAGACTCACAGCGGGGAGAGGATAACCAGAATGGTGAAAGAGAAACAACATTAACGCAATCTTTCCCGTTTTTATTTTGATGTCACTCAAAACGCCCTCCCTCCCGGATGGAAAGGCAAAGCTGCAGCACTGGCTACCACGCACGGAGGCCACTCATCCAGCAGCTGGATCGACATGCGACAGCCGCTTGAGGATGACGGTATTCGGCCTACTCTTCTACAATGGCAGAGGCGGCAAGGGACCCACATTTTACCCACACCGCAAGCGATCTGCCCGATCGACGAAGCTGTGTGGCTGCAATCCACCTCGCACTGCTGGCCGGAACGGGGCGAGGGTTGGGGCGGTGATTTCAGAAACATGCCCCAGTGTGTCAGCTGCCGGTCTGGCAGAGTATTGCTGTAGTACTACATAACAACAGTGGATTATACTGCACTGCCATCTGCTGTCCCACCAACACCTGCTTTTGGTGCATGCTGAGCACGACATCTCCAAGCACTGTCCAGGCACCCCCCAGCTTGCTTAGCTTGCGAGATCGCACGCAACTGGGCGCACTTCGGGTTATATGGGTCATTTGCCACCCTCGTGTTTGCGTTTGTGACTGTATATATATGGAACCGCATGCTTGGAATTACGCTCGCTACTACTTTTATCCACTAGCACATCACAGCCGGGCCAGCGTGGGATTCTCGGTTTTCCACTGGCAATTTGCCATTACCGAGCCAAACAGGGTAATTTTGCGTGACGTCAGTCGGTATTCTGTGAGGACGCTGTCACTGTATTATCTACGAGCATCACTGAATCGTTTGTTCAGCGTGACATCCAGGGCACGGCTCGGCACTGCTTCTGCAGTGGGATAAAGGGCCTGGCGCCTCCTGAGCCACGCCAGGGCCGGCATGGCACGGCCCTGGCTCGGTAGTGGAAAAACAACCTGGCGCCTCCTGACCCACGCCGGGCTCGGCTGGGCTGGCTCAACACAGCCCTGGCTCGGTTCGGTTGTGTGGTGGAAGTACAACCTGGTGCCTCTGAGCCACGCAGGCCTGGCAACGGTACGGCCCCGGTGGGGTTCGGTTGTGCAGTGGAAAAGAGGTATGCGAGCAAGGAACACACAGATCATGGAACAACAGCAAATGACCTTTTTGGATGCCTATAATTCCTAAATACTGGTCTGCGAAAATGGGACAAAGCAATAAAATGAAGACGAAAATAAGACGTTATCTACACGCACGCCGAGCGCTTAACTACAAAGTTTCGTCATTACGAAATTTACAAAACGTAATATTCACGGTTTTTCGTATGAAAGACAGGCAAACGTTCGTTCATTGCGACAATCGAAAGTACAATACTGACTCTCTCACAAGTCGGAGACTAAAAGTACAAACGTAAAACTGATTTTTAGTAGGAGCAAAATATTTCCCGTACGTACGAGATGAACAAAGCAATCCGGGAAATGATGGCAAAGCAAAACGTCTGCTAAACAAGATGAACACTAAAACAACCTTTGCTCAATCCCACAAAATCCCGAACCATCTGCCCGAAAACTGAGAGAAGCCGTGTGGCCACGCCGATTAGGTTTTTGCGCGGTCGTGCTGCTGCTGCTGCGGCTGCGTGTCGTTCAACGCCGCGTTCCAACGACGTTTTCGCTCCCACGTGAATGGACCGGAAACCTCCTCGGGAGCAGTCGCTGGAGGAAGCTGCCCGACACGTGCAGCGAAACGTCGGGACGCCGCCTCGACCGCCAGACGGCGCGCGTGCGACGCGAAGACACGACCGGGAGCGTGCAAAGCGGCTTGCGACGTGTCGTCTGAACGCACTGCCGCTCCCTCGCGTTGGGACGAAGGTCCACACAGACGCAAGGACACGGGAGTGCCGCCACTCGCAACACTGCCTTGTAACAACGGAGGCATTATTTCTGCTGTCCCTTTGTCAATCAACTGCTGGATGAAGGCCGCCCTGCTCCGTGTCGTACGTGTAGGGAGGGGGGGGGGGGAGGAGCAGGGGGTCGCTTGACTACTTCACCACTCTGGTCGGTGCAGGTTTGAGAAGGCGGGGTTGGAGGGGCCACAGCAGCTCCGCTTCGGATTTCGCTCGTCACTGATGTTAGCCGTGGCCGGGAATCGAACTGAGTTCGATGGGGGGTTTGATGGTGCGGTGCGCCAACCGCTGCGCCACCACTCCACCCGCAAGCGAGTTGCTGGGCCCGTGCGAGTTTAGCGTGAGGCCGAGAGCGACGTGCACCTCGACATGTGGCTGCGTGTGCTTGGCTATGCACGGCGCGAAAGAAGTTCAACATACCAGGGTGACCCCGAGCAACAAATGAAACCAAATCGACCTGCGCGGTCTGACTTTTTTTTTTGGTGGGCCCAAATGTAAAAAAAAAAATGCGGAGAATTAAAATTCGTCCATCGCTACAACCATAAACCTGTTGTTGCTGCTCTGACGCTCCTTTACCCAGGAAAGACTCGTAGAGTCTCAAGACTGTTTTTTTTTTTGCCTGGAGGGTCCTGCCAAGTTTGTCGGAGTGGGGGGGGGGCGGATGTGGCCAAGATCTAAGTCCCAGTTGAGCGTCACGGTGGTGAGATGTTAACCCCCTTGCCTGTATACAGGAGGTTGTGGGTTTCATCCCGACCCCGACGCCTTCCATATTTGTAATTTGTATCTTCTCCCCCGTGGTCGCGTGGATTTTTCTCCGCGTCCTCCGCTTTTCCCCCTCCACATTTAGAATCATGCCTTTTCGAGTATTTGGTTTGCCATGCATTTCAAAATGCTGTCACTTCTTTGGCGCTATCACTTGTGGCCAGGTTGCGTCTGAAAAATAGCGACACAGCTCAGTGGGCCTTACCTGGGGTATTTTTTTAGGCCAATATCAGTTACATTGGGTTTTTTTCCCCTACGGTTGTAAGCCATCACGTTTAACCTCTAGTCCTCCGAGAATTATCATTAGGACGTACATCAATTCGGTTATCGGTGTCTTTTCGTAGTTTCTGCAAAATGTCGTCCGTAAATTCATGTTATAAGGAAGTGGTCAATGATTACTGTGGCGATGTTTCACGAGCATTAATTTGTCTGAACGTAGGACAGCACACGATGCAGTGGCGGGCACCTTCAGATTGCCTGCCGGTTCGTTGGAATATACAAGGCAATCCATTTACAGATATCCCACCGATTTCCGATGACCCTCTCAAAAGCTTTGTAAAAATAAGAAAACCATAAACCCGTTGTGTAGGACAGAGCGCGTCCGGAGCATGTTAACCGATTTACATAAAGCAGGTGCATTGAGGTTGGTGGAAGTAAATGTATAAGCTCTGAATTACAATGTTATTTTCTCCCTATTATTTTAGTGGGTCGTCTATAAATGGTTCACCACGTGTTTATCATCGTGGCTCGTGTGTGTGTGTGTCAGTGGTTCCCCGGCAGCACGACAAGGCCGGCGAGCCGAATCCGATACCTGGCCACGGCTAACATCAGTGGCAAGTGTTAGATCGACTCAACCTTAAATGAGATCCTGGCACAGTGTGCAATAAACATCAGCCACAGGAGAGACAAAAGCGACCGGGGCGTCGTTCTGCCCGCATCAACCCCTCGTGCAAGATTTTAAATGTGTGCCCGCCGACGGCACTTGCCCCAATCGTCTGTATGGCTACGCGAGGGATCTTTGTCTTTGTTCTAAGTGTGCGTGTATGCGAGTGTTGTAGACGTCTTCCCAGACACCTAGCGAGTGGTGGTACCGTGTGTGTGTGTGCGTGCACCTAGCAGGGCACAATTGCCACGGTGACGTCACCGCCCCTTCGTGGCGAACGGCGGTTGTTGTTGTTGTTGTCGTGCGTACATCTTTACACCACACAGGCCAAACAACAACCGGCACTGCGTACTTCTTCGCCACCTCAGGGTTAGCGGCGAATGCCACCGGCTTCCTGGTCTGCTCACTTCTCCTTGACGAAGGCAAAGGCCAAGTAGAGGCCTGGAGAGACAAGACACAGGCAGCGAGCAGTGAGAAGTGAGCGTTACGGTTCCGCTGGGAGGTCACTCACGACCCGGAGACCATCATCATCCGGGCCTTCATCGCAACACGACTCATCGGCCGCAACTCTCGCCCCCCACAGCATCCCCATCTTCCAAACATCCCTCCTCTTCCCTCATCTCCCCATATACCTCATCTCTTCAATATACCCCATCTTCCAATTCCAGAAAATCAAAAATGCCGTGACCAGACTTCTCACCCACAATGCCCCGATCCCTTCACTGGTTTCCAATCCAATCCCAGATCCATTTCACGATCGCACTCACGGTCCTCAAGCCCCTCCATGGACTCCCTCCTGCCCACCTCTCTCCTCCCACTCGACTCCCCTCCACGCACTCTCCTACCTCTCCCCCTTCATCTCACTCGACTCCCCTCCACGCACTCTCCTACCTGTCCCCTCTCATCTCACTCTACTCTCCTCCACGCACTCTCCTACCTCTCCCCCTTCATCTCACTCGACTCCCCTCCACGCACACTCCTGCCTCTCACCTCATTCTGCTCTCCACACACTCTCCTACCTCTCCTCACCTCACTCTACCCTGCTCCAGGCACCGAGGCTGGGGACTGTGTCTGGGTGTCTGGGTGCGAGTCACTCACTTGTGGCTTCCCATTCCGACTTCGTCATCGTTCCCTACGTGACGGGAGATGTGGAGAGACAGAACGAAAACAACCTTCGGCGTAAATACACAAAACGCGCAAGACGGCAATCAAATGTAACTCCGCTGTTCCAGTGAGCACGGGGCGGTTGCTTGTTGTCATTTCCAAGTACAGATGTTTTCGGCTTTTTTATCGATTTGTTTAATGGGCCCCCAGCGCAATAAGAGTCGCGAGACTCGGCGAGGACTTCTCCTGCGTACAAATTCGGAGTGATAAATAATGTCAACTTGAAACGCGCCGCACGGTACCCGCTCGCGGAGACAGGGAGGGCGACTCGAAGGTGCCAGGAGGAGGAACCACGGACGAGCGGGGAAGGCGAGGGATAGTGATCCAGCGCCAAATTCTCCTGCAAACGCTACGGTCCTCTATATAGTAATGTGTTTTTACTTGAGAAGAAACCAGAGCACCCGGAAAACTAATTTCTTTAGAACTGCTTTTTGTGTTTAGTTTGTTTTCCTTCCCCCCCGTGCCTCCGATTAACAGTTGGCTACGTACAGCCAAAAAGAAGTTCAAACCGCATACAAAAACACCCACGTGTACGACGGGGTGGCCACACTCTATCCCACAAAGACGGAACAGGTAGAAATCCACATTTTCGCTTTACCGCCCCTCTCTCCTGGCGATCCAGGATACAACTCCTCTCCTTGACGCCCACGGGCAGGGAATCTCACAGCATTTGTGCGGCGATCCGCCAACCCCTCTCGCTGCTGCCTCCATCGTCGTCGGATTACAGGCGAAGCGCAGCCACCGCACTGACGCGAGTGGTACGTGCGCGCGCGTCTGTGCTCGTGTGTATGGATCCCAGGTTGAACTCGTTACCACGTTGCCGTGGGGCTGGTTGCTCTCCTTCAGGCTGGTTTTCACGTGCTCGTAGTCCTCAAGGTTGCCGCTCACCAGACTCGAGCCTGGCCCTGGTGGGTACGCCTGCCACAAAGACAAAGACCCCCCGTATAACCTTTAACATACTGTTGGGGGCAAGTGCTGTCAGCAAGCAGCTATTAAGGCCTGCACGGCACACAAGGGGGTGGGTAGCAAACACCACGCCCGGGCTTGCATTTGTCACCTTAGTGGCGATGTTTACACATCGCAATCGCACCAGGTACCCATTTGAGGCCGAGTCGACCATCAAAGACAAAGATCCCCCGTATAGCCTTAACGGGCTGTTGGGGCAAGTGCTGTCAGTGAGCACCTATTAAGGATGGCACAGCACACAAGGGGGTGGACGGCCAACACCACGCCTGGGCTGCCTTTGTCTCCATAGCGGTGAAGTTTACACACCGCACCAGGTACTCATTGGAACCTGAGTCGACCTGGGGGGAGGCCCCGGAACGGTTAAAATAATCGTCAACGGTGTTGGCCGTGAACGGGTTCGCGTTAACCGCTACACTCCCGCTCCCCCGCACATGCATACATACACTCGCCCCAGTGTCACAAACACATCACTCTCCACCGCACAAAAAGACAAAGATCCCCTGTATAACCTCAACAGACTTTAGGGGCAAGTGCTGCTATAGCGAGCACCTATGAAAGCCAGAATGGTACAAAGATCCCCCGTATAACCTTAAATACTGCTGGGGCAGGTGCTGTTAGCAAGCACTTATGAAGGCGGGAACGGCGCACACACACACACACGTTTCCTCATTGTGATTTTAACATGATTTTTAACATGATTTTAACATGATTTTTTATGTTTCTACCTCCATCGCCTGCATTCTCTCCATCAGTATCCTGTGCTCCTTCTCCTGGCTCTTTTGCCGGAAGTATTCGGCGAACGTCTTGTTCATCAGCAGCTTCATGCCGTGCTTCTTGGCCATCCTACAAAACCGTCGGGCGACACGGGAGGGGACTCGGGAGTTACGAGAAAAGCAGGACGCATGCGAGGAAGAAAAACCACGCACATGCACGGATTCTGGAAGGCTTCCCAAAAAGCGTTTGTCCCCGGAAGTATTTAATGAGCCGAGTGACTTAATTAGCGATTAGGATGTACATGTCAACTTGTAACTACTGCGCCGTCGTCGCCGCTGCCGCCACACAGAATTCGCTCTTCGGAGAGAGGGGGGACGGCTCAGAGAGGCTGACTCGGGACAGAGGATGACTCAGTAGGCGCCAGGAGGAACCACCACAGGCGAGCGGGAAGGCAGTAGCAGCAGCCGGTGCCCTATTTCGTCTCGCTCAAGCTCTGCGGTCCTCTATATATTGTGGTGTCATCGGACAATTCAATTAATGAGTGCTTACAGAGCATCGGGAGAAAATCCACATTTGTGAGGGGGAAACGCTCTATCCCCATACAGGTGGGGCAGACGGAGTCCACATTTTGGCTGTACCATGATTTCCTGGCTAGCCAGGGTACAGCATCTCGCAATAATGGTGCGGTGATCCACCAATCCTTGCTGCTGCTGCGGCCACAGCGCTGGATTACAGGCAGCCACGTGCAGCAGCGTAGACACTACCGCCACCCGGCTGCGTCACGTTTCAAGCCGTACAAAGACGTCACTTGGCGCATTTCGTCGTTTGTGTGTGCGAGCGAGCGCGTGTTTGTGTGTGCGAGCGAGCGTGACGCGTGAGTGTGTGTTTGTGTGTGCGAGCGTGAGTGCGTGTTGGTGTGCGCGCGCTAGTGTGTGTGTACGAGCGAGTGTGTGTGAGTGTGAGTGAGCGTGTATACGCGAGTGCGTGCGACCGTGCATGCATTTTAGCGTGAGAGTGTGTGCATGCGAGTGTGTGCGTGCATGCGCGACGGACTCCTGCAGGAGAGGGAAGTAGACGAGGAACTCGGGGCAGTCCACCACGCCCTCCAGGTGGAAGTCGTACTTGCACCCGAAGAGGGGGAACGAGGTTTTGTCGGGGAAGCGGACCGAGTACACCTCGTTACCGAATGACAGCCCCTCCGCCTTCATCAGACGCTTCCTACAAAACGACAGAGAAGATTCACCCCCCCACCCCCGCCGTACAGCATTTAACAGACTGTTGGGGGCAAGCGCTGTTAGCGATGAGTGCCTACGGTGAAGGAGCGAACAGTTGTGGTGCGGCCGGCACCTCTCCCAAACGCTTTTGTCTCCCCCGATGCCGATGTGAATGCACCGCAACCCGGTACCTATTTAGGGCCGAGTAAACCGAGGGGCGACCCAGAAACTGCTTTGATATCGCTCGGAATCGTCGCTGCGCGGGTGCGTGCGTCGCTGCGCAAGCGTTGAAGCCACAGTCCCATGAGTCCAGATCGGACGTCCGCAGCGACTGTGGTGGCATAACTACAGCGGTTCCAATGTTTCCGATGAAGCCAATAAAAGTGGGGTCTGTGATAACCGCTCGAAATGAGCGGGGTGATCAAATGTTGCACACGCATCGGCCGTGGAAAATACATCAGAAGTACCAAAGTTTTTTTTTACCATATCAGGTGGTGCCCATTGCTGATTTAGGAGAGGAGTCCCAAGGTGGCTAGGAGATGTTAACTACCTCGCCCGGTATGCAGGAGGTCGTGGGTTAGATATTTGGCATTATCGTGTCTTTCTCTCTCCCTGTGGCTGTATAGATTTTTCTCCGGTTTTTCCCTCGACAATTAAAAATCAACGTGCGTCGACACTATTTGGCTATCGACGTTGAGCACGTGACACCCCGCTTGAACACGCGATACTCCGCTTCGTCGAGCTATCATTTGTGGCCAGGCCGCCTCTGAAAAAAAGAGCTATTTTGCTCGGCGGGTCTTGCCTGGCAAAATAAAATAAAAACAGTTTAGTTTTAGTTTAAACGAGCGATAACGGCGACGGTAGTAATGAACCAACACCGCTCACACGAGTTCCCGGGCGTCCGGCGTCGTTCCGAAGAAGATGCCTCCCGGTTTCAGACGCTCGCAGGCGTTGCGCAGCATCGTGTCTGCCTGCGCTTGGCTCTCCATCGAGTAGTGGTACACGAACTGGCAGCTCACGAGGTCGAAGGTGCGCGAGCGGTCCTCAAAGCGGTCCGACAGGAGCTCCTGTGGTAGCGCGGAGCGGGTGGTGGGGGAGGTGCAGGGGGAGGTGCAGGGGGAGGTGGTGGTGGGGGAGGAGGGAGGTTGGGGGGGAGGTGGTGGTGGGGAAGGTGGGGCGGTGGGGTGGGGGAGGTGGGGGAGGAGCAGGAGTGGGGTAGGGGAGGTGGCGGTGGTGGGAGGTGGGGTGGGGGAGGTGGTGGTGGGGGAGGTGGGGGGGTGGGGTGGGGTAGGTGGCGGTGGTGGGAGGTGGTGGTGGGGGAGGTGGTGCCCATCATCGCGATTGCCACCACCCACCATCATCATCATCATCACCGTCCAGGATCAATCCGTTGCAAGAAGGTGTCCCCAGCCTCCCCCCCCCCCCCCGCTTTTACGATTTGACCAAAACTCGTATCTACACGTACACTACACACACGCTACACGTACACAGACGTACACTACACGTAAACACACGTACACTACACACACGCTACACGTACACTACAAGTACACTACACGTAAACACACAAACACTACACACACGCTACACGTACACTACAAGTACACTACACGTAAACACACGTACACTACACACACGTACACTACAAGTACACTACACGTAAACACACGTACACTACACACACGTACACTACACACACGCTACACGTACACACACGTACACCACAAGTACACACCTTGCTGCAGTCGGCAGCGATGAACTCGGCGGAGAAGATGGGGCCTCCTCCGCCGCGTCCCCGCATGTCGTTGTACCGCTGCCGGCACTGATCCACTGACGTCGCAGCGATGTCTGCACCCACGCCGAGGCACCAGCACCCCACAAATAGACAAAGAGACACCGGCACCCACAATCATCAGCCACGTGTTTCAATAGACACAGAGACACCGATACCCACAATCATTACCCACGTGTTTCAATAGACACAGAGACACCGGCACTCACAATCATCAGCCAAATGTTTCAAAATTACACAGACACTGGCAACCACAATCATCACCCGCGTGTTTCAATAGACACAGAGACACCGACACCCACAATCATCACCCACGTGTTTCAATAGACACAGAGACACCGACACCCACAATCATCACCCACGTATTTCAATGGACACAGAGACACCGGCACCCACAATCATCAGCCAAGTGTTTCAATAGACACAGAGACACCAGCACCCACAATTCTCAGCCACGTGTTTCAATAGACACAGAGACACCGGCACCCACAATCATCAGCCAAGTGTTTCAATAGACACAGAGACACCGACACCCACAATCATCAGCCACGTGTTTCAATAGACAGAGACACCGACACCCACAGTCATCAGCCACGTGTTTCAAAATTACACATACACTGGCAACCACAATCATCACCCGCGTGTTTCAATAGACACAGAGACACCGACACCCACAGTCATCAGCCACGTGTTTCAATAAACACGGAGACACCGTCACCGACAATCATCAGCCACGTGTTTCAATAAACACGGAGACACCGGCACCACCCACAATCATCACCCACGTGTTTCAATAGACACAGAGACACCGACACCCACAATCATCAGCCACGTGTTTCAATAAACACGGAGACACCGGCACCCACAATCATCACCCACGTGTTTCAATAGACACAAGAGACACCGACACCCACAATCATCACCCACGTGTTTCAATAGACACAAGAGACACAGGCACCCACAATCATCACCCACGTGTTTCAATAGACACAGAGACACCGACACCCACAATCATCAGCCAAGTGTTTCAATAGACACAAAGACAACGGCACCCACAGTCATCACCCACGTGTTTCAATACAGACAGAGACACAGGCACCCACAATCATTAACCACGTGTTTCAATAGACACAGAGACACCGACACCCACAGTCATCACCCACGTGTTTCAATAGACACAGACACAGGCACCCACAATCATTACCCACGTGTTTCAATAGACACAGAGACACAGGCACCCACAATCATTACCCACGTGTTTCAATAGACACAGAGACACCGACACCCACAGTCTTCAACCCACGTGTTTCAATAGACACAGAGACACAGGCACCCACAATCATTACCCACGTGTTTCAATAGACACAGAGACACCGACACCCACAGTCTTCAACCCACGTGTTTCAATAGACACAGAGACACCGGCACCCACAATCATTACCCACGTGTTTCAATAGACACAGAGACACCGACACCCACAGTCATCAACCCACGTGTTTCAATAGACACAGAGACACCGACACCCACAATCATCAGCCAAGTGTTTCAATAGACATAGAGACACTGACACCCACAGTCATCAACCCACGTGTTTCAATAGACACAGAGATACCGACACCCACAGTCATCAACCCACGTGTTTCAATAGACACAGAGACACCAGCACCCACAATCATCAGCCAAGTGTTTCAAAAGACACAGAGATACCGACACCCACAATCATCAGCCACGTGTTTCAATAGACACAGACACCCACAATCATCACCCACGTGTTTCAATACAGACAGAGACACAGGCACCCACAATCATTACCCACGTGTTTCAATAGACACAGAGACACAGGCACCCACAATCATTACCCACGTGTTTCAATAGACACAGAGACACCGACACCCACAATCATCAGCCAAGTGTTTCAATAAACACAGAGATACTGACACCCACAATCATCAGCCACGTGTTTCAATAGACACAGACACCCACAATCATCACCCACGTGTTTCAATACAGACAGAGACACAGGCACCCACAATCATCACCCACGTGTTTCAATAGACACAGAGACACCGACACCCACAATAATCACCCACGTGTTTCAATAGACACAGAGACACCGACACCCACAGTCATCACCCACGTGTTTCAATAGACACAGAGACACCGGCACCCACAATCATCACCCACGTGTTTCAATAGACACAGACACAGGCACCCACAGTCATCACCCACGTGTTTCAATAGACACAGAGACGCCGGCACCCACAATCATCACCCACGTGTTTCAATAGACACAGACACAGGCACCCACAATCATCACCCACGTTTTTCAATAGACACAGAGATACCGACACCCACAATCATTACCCACGTGTTTCAATAGACACAGAGACACCGGCACCCACAATCATCAGCCACGTGTTTCAATAGACACAGACACCCACAATCATCACCCACGTGTTTCAATAGACACAGAAACACCAGCACCCACAATCATCACCCACGTGTTTCAATAGACACAGAGACACCGGCACCCACAATAATCACCCACGTGTTTCAATAGACAGAGACACCGGCACCCACAATCATCACCCACGTGTTTCAATAGACACAGAGACACCGGCACCCACAATCATCAGCCACGTGGTTCAATAGACACAGAGACACCGACACATACAATCATCACCCACGCGTCTCTCCTATCTGCAGCGCCTACATGTATCAGCAGACAATCTCACTCTGGATATCTCAACAGACAACTCTCTCTCTCTCTCCTCCTTTCTTGCGTGTCCACACCAAACAGAGCGGGAGATCACTCCACGGACTCTTCCGCTCCGACGGCATTCCCCGGCCTTCCCTCCTCGCCGACGAAGCGTGAAACCCTTTGCGCGCGCACGCTCACTCACCAGCGCAGACGAGGTGGCCGATGGAGGCGCGACGCCACTTGAGCATGTCCCCTCCCTTGCCGCAGCCGAGGTCAAGAACGGACAGCGCTCCTCCACGCCCGTCCGCCCGCACCCTCTGCACAAACTCATCTGCGCGCAGACATTGCAATACGTACTTACGAACGTTCAACTTGTGAACTTTCATAGATACGAACAAACCTGGTACGTACGTCCAGCCGCCTGTTCGGACTGAGAGTTGTAAGTTCAACCGCCACGCAATAGATGGCGGTGGTGGCATCTACATCTACCGAACGTGAAGAACCAGTGGCATCTACATCTATCGAACGTGAAGAACCAATGACATCTACATCTGCAGAACATGAAGAACCAGTGACATCAACAGAACATGAAGAACCAGTGGCATCTACATCTGCAGAACGTGAAGAACAAGTGGCATCTACATCTGCAGAACATGAAGAACCAGTGGCATCTACATCTGCAGAACATGAAGAACGAGTGGCATCTACATCTGCAGAACATGAAGAACCAGCGGCATCTACATCTGCAGAACATGAAGAACCAGCGGCATCTAAATCTGCAGAACGTGAAGAACCAGTGGCATCTACATCTGCAGAACGTGAAGAACCAGTGGCATCTACATCTGCAGAATGTGAGGAACCGGTGGCATCTACATCTGCAGAACATGAAGAACCAGTGGCATCTACATTTGTAGAACGTGATGAACCAGTGGCATCTACATCTGCAGAACGTGAAGAACCAGTGGTATCTACATCTACAGAACGTGAAGAACCAGCATCATCTACATCTGTAGAACGTGATGAACCAGTGGCATCTACATCTACAGAACGTGAAGAACCAGTGGCATCTAGATCTGCAGAACGTGAAGAACCAGTGGCATCTAAATCTGCAGAACATGAAGAACTAATGGCATCTACATCTGCAGAATGTGAAGAACCAGTGACATCTACATCTGCAGAATGTGAAGAACCGGTGACATCTACATATACAGAATGTAAAGAACCATTGGCATCTACATCTGCAGAACGTGGAGAACCAGTGGCATCTACATCTGCAGAACATGAAGAACCAGCGGCATCTACATCTGCAGAACATGAAGAACCAGTGGCATCTACATCTGCAGAACGTGAAGAACCAGTGGCATCTACATCTGCAGAATGTGAGGAACCGGTGGCATCTACATCTGCAGAACATGAAGAACCAGTGGCATCTACATTTGTAGAACGTGATGAACCAGTGGCATCTACATCTGCAGAACGTGAAGAACCAGTGGCATCTACATCTACAGAACATGAACAACCAGCGTCATCTACATCTGTAGAACGTGATGAACCAGTGGCATCTAGATCTGCAGAACGTGAAGAACCAGTGGCATCTAAATCTGCAGAACATGAAGAACTAATGGCATCTACATCTGCAGAATGTGAAGAACCAGTGATATCTACATCTGCAGAATGTGAAGAACCGGTGACATCTACATATACAGAATGTAAAGAACCATTGGCATCTACATCTGCAGAACGTGGAGAACCAGTGGCATCTACATCTGCAGAACATGAAGAACCAGTGGCATCTACATATGCAGAACGTGAAGAACCAGTGGTATCTACAGCTACAGAACGTAAAGAACCAGTGGCATCTACATCTGTAGAATGTGAAGAACCAGTGGCATTTACATCTGCAGAACGTGAAGAACAAGTGGCATCTACATCTGCAGAACATGAAGAACCAGTGGCATCTACATCTGCAGAACATGAAGAACGAGTGGCATCTACATCTGCAGAACATGAAGAACCAGCGGCATCTACATCTGCAGAACATGAAGAACCAGCGGCATCTAAATCTGCAGAACGTGAAGAACCAGTGGCATCTACATCTGCAGAACGTGAAGAACCAGTGGCATCTACATCTGCAGAATGTGAGGAACCGGTGGCATCTACATCTGCAGAACATGAAGAACCAGTGGCATCTACATTTGTAGAACGTGATGAACCAGTGGCATCTACATCTGCAGAACGTGAAGAACCAGTGGCATCTACATCTACAGAACGTGAAGAACCAGCATCATCTACATCTGTAGAACGTGATGAACCAGTGGCATCTACATCTACAGAACGTGAAGAACCAGTGGCATCTAGATCTGCAGAACGTGAAGAACCAGTGGCATCTAAATCTGCAGAACATGAAGAACTAATGGCATCTACATCTGCAGAATGTGAAGAACCAGTGACATCTACATCTGCAGAATGTGAAGAACCGGTGACATCTACATATACAGAATGTAAAGAACCATTGGCATCTACATCTGCAGAACGTGGAGAACCAGTGGCATCTACATCTGCAGAACATGAAGAACCAGCGGCATCTACATCTGCAGAACGTGAAGAACCAGTGGCATCTACATCTGCAGAACGTGAAGAACCAGTGGCATCTACATCTGCAGAATGTGAGGAACCGGTGGCATCTACATCTGCAGAACATGAAGAACCAGTGGCATCTACATTTGTAGAACGTGATGAACCAGTGGCATCTACATCTGCAGAACGTGAAGAACCAGTGGCATCTACATCTACAGAACATGAACAACCAGCGTCATCTACATCTGTAGAACGTGATGAACCAGTGGCATCTAGATCTGCAGAACGTGAAGAACCAGTGGCATCTAAATCTGCAGAACATGAAGAACTAATGGCATCTACATCTGCAGAATGTGAAGAACCAGTGATATCTACATCTGCAGAATGTGAAGAACCGGTGACATCTACATATACAGAATGTAAAGAACCATTGGCATCTACATCTGCAGAACGTGGAGAACCAGTGGCATCTACATCTGCAGAACATGAAGAACCAGTGGCATCTACATATGCAGAACGTGAAGAACCAGTGGTATCTACAGCTACAGAACGTAAAGAACCAGTGGCATCTACATCTGTAGAATGTGAAGAACCAGTGGTATCTACATCTACAGAATGCGAAGAACCATTGGCATCTACATCTGCAGAACGTGGAGAACCAGTGGCATCTACATCTACAGAACGTGAAGAACCAGTGCCATCTACATCTACAGAACGTGAAGAACCAGTGGCATCTACAACTACAGAACATGAAGATCCAGTGGCATCTGCATCTGCAGAACGTGAAGAACCAGTGGCATCTAAATCTACAGGAGATTATTAACCTTTTAAAAGCCATTCCCCGTGTCTAGTGTATACGCCGCACAATGTGTTTGGAATCGACAGGAGTCAAGTTGGACTTACGAACACATCCACTCATGAACAGGCCTCCGGAACCTAACTCGTTCATATGTAGAGTCGTCCCTGTACACACATCGTAATACAGCTTCCTTCAACTAAAATATCCCCAAAGCGGAAGGTTTTAGTGTCAGATACAGCGGTCACATTTGCACGTGGAAGCAGACGTGGTGACGCAGGCAGCGGTGAGAAAGGAAAAAAAGGCCCGCTATTTGGACACACGCATGTAGCACGATGGACAAAAACAGGGAAATTAAAAGTGCATCGGTGGGAAAAATGGAAGGAAACCGGAAAGAGAGGAGGACCTAACAGAGAACGGCTTGACAATGACGACATCAAAAGAGGTTGGTGCCAGAAAGATGTCGCCACTACCCGAGCGAATTGGCACGAGACGGAGCAAAGCGGAAACAAATGACGAAATGTACGGCGGTAAGTTCGCGTGCGCGCGCGGCGCGGCCTCACTGATGAGCACGCTCTTGAGCCAATTGTTGAAGTTGCGCATGTAGAGGATGCGGCTGTGGCTCCGCGCATCTCGCCCGACCTCCTGGAGCTGATTGTAGTGAGTGGCGACTACGCTGCCAAGCCCCGGTCCACGCTGCGCGCACACACACACACACACGTGCTGTTAGCAAGCGATAACACAACAAAAATACTTGTTTACCCGGGAAACTACACAAAGCTTCACATGGGAAGGTTTTTGTAGTGCCCACAGAAAAGCACCCACACACGAGGGGGTAGCACTTAAAAGCTCCACGCAGACCGATTTACGAATCCACAGTTTTACTCCCATTTTCCTTTCTACCCCTGCACCTCCGATTAGCACAGCTGGCTACCTACAGCGCGAAAGAGCTTCAACGTGTATACGTACTTGCAGCCTAAGCTTACAACACCCAGGCAGTTCCCTGTCCCAGTACTAAACAATTATAATTACACATTTATCCGAAAAAAGCCACGCTGAGTGAAAGGACTGTTATTCACAGGAGGGTCCCACATTGGATGTTTTTAAATTACATTTTTTCTCAGCCACTTCAACCAGAGCTTACACACACGTGGGAGGAACCCGGAGCACCTGGAGATAACCCACGCTCTCGTGCGAGGGGGCAACGCTCTATCCCCGTACAGATAGAACAAATGGAATCCGAATATTTTGCCGTACCGCCTTCTCCTGACGAGCCAGGGTACGGGCAAGTTCTCGGCGGCTACAGGGAGTTTACATCCAGCATCATCGGGCAATTCGCAAGAATGGTAAAGACCTCACTTGCTCTCGGTCTTAAATAGAGCAGCAGGATGTAATTACTAGCGAAACGTCGTATTCAAACTGTAAATGTTGTGGATTCACTCTTCAACACACCGGTGGGCTAAAGTAGTGAAATAATTGTCTTTTGTCAACGTGACACTTTTTTTTGCTGATTGGCCGTGTCGGGTGGTGGAGGGTTACGACACATTTATAAATAACGCGATCTAACCCAAAAACCTTTATTATGAATATTGGTCGCGAAAGCCTACGTGTTAAACCAACCCTTGCTTTGTCGAGAGTGGTGGATTACCGACAGTATCATCGCCACGCTCGGCTGCCTAATTCTCCCCAGTGATGATGTTCATACACCACCACAGGTACTCACTCATTTAAGGCAGAGTCGACCTAAACTAAAAACTAAACTTTTTTTTTATTTTACCACCTAAGTCCCACTTCGTTGAGCTATCATTTGTGGCCAGGTAGCTTCTGAAAAAGAGCTAAATAGCTTAAGTGGGCCTTGCCTGGTAAAATAAAAAGTTTCGTTCGTGGTTTTAAGATGACCAGATTAGTCGGATCACAGCCCAGCTAGAATGAGAAGACACCTTAGCAGCAGTGGCTCCATCCTCCTCATCTGAATCTCGAGAATTCCTCTTCACTCCACCAGCAACTGCCTCCTCCTGCCTTGGACTGACTTCTGCTTACACGACACACATCAACCACACCGCACACACACACACGAAGTACAGCTTCATGACGTGGAGGACAACTCATCATTATCACCATCAGAGCCACGATCGATCCACTGCTGAATTAAGGCCTCCGCAAGCCACCACCGCCACCACCACTTCTCACGACCCCGGCGATGCGTCAAATCCTTTCAAAACCCCGCACGTGGACCGACGACATCGCTCCGTCTCCCCTTGGGAGGACCGCGTCCTTTTCGGAAGCGTTCCAATCAGTCTGGCTGCCGTCACCCCGTCGTGCCTCCTTGTCGACGCGTCCCGCCCAAGCCCGTTGACCTTAAACACGTGATCCTTCATTAAACGTGACATTAAAACAAGCTTCAACACGTCAGGCTTTCACGGCCAATGTCATCCAAAATACAGGTTTTTTTCTTTTTTGGGTTACATCGTCATCATCATAAAATGAAATGAAACTATGAATCACATCTACCCCTCTATTTAAGGAACGAAAAAGGATGGTGGTGATGAGAGGGTGGTAGTGGTGGTTAGAATGTGGTGGTGATGAGGGGGGTGGTGATGTTGATGAGAGTGTGGTGATGTTGATGAGGGGGGTGGTGATGTTGATGAGAGGGTGGCGATGTTGATGAGAGTGTGGTGGTGATGAGAGGGTGGTGGTGGTGACGAGAGGGTGGTGATGTTGATGAGAGGGTGGTGATGAGGGGGTAGTGGTGATGATGAGAGGGTGGTGGTGATGATGGTGATGTTGATGAGAGGGTGGTGATGATGATGATGTTGACGAGAGGGTGGTGATGTTGATGAGAGGGTGGTGATGTTGATGAGAGGGTGGTAATGAGGGGGTGGTGGTGATGATCAGAGGGTGGTGATGTTGATGAGAGTGTGGTGGTGGTGATGATGAGAGGGTGGTGATGAGGGTGGTGGTGTTGATGAGAGTGTGGTGGTGATGATGATGGTGGTGATGTTGATGAGAGGGTGGTAATGAGGGGGTGGTGGTGATGATGAGAGGGTGGTGGTGGTGATGATGAGAGGGTGGTGATGTTGATGAGAGGCTGGTGATGGTGATGATAAGATGGTGGTGGTGGTAGTAACAATGAGGGGAGAAGAGGGAAGGAAAGAAGGAGCGAGTGAATGTGAGCTGCACGGAAGAAGCGGCATTTGTGTTCAAGAGTCGGGATGCCCGAATACAAGTCACGTGATTTACGCAAGGCTCGAGTTGATCTACATCAGTGGTTCTTAACCATCACTGCAGCCTTGCATCATCCCTTTGGTTCTCAAGCGTTCAATTAGGTTTTGTTTGTTTACAATGTTAATAAATACATAGGGTTTGATTAAACAAAGTAGTTGTACTTTGCGTGCCCCGTGTTTGTGGTTTAAAAAAAAAAACATTTAGGGCCCCTTCATAACATTTGCTAGAGGCCCCCGCACTAGCTTAGTCCGGCACTGGGTGAGCGCCGCACGCCGAGCAAATCATTGACAATGCACTGCCGGATGACCGGGGTAAGGTGGCCGGGTTTGCTTCGAACTATTAACCTCACCGCTACTGCTCAGTGCGGGCAACGGTGCAAGCGGTGGTGGTGGTGGTGGTGGGGGAGGGAGAGCGGGTAAATCGACCGACGCGAGAGCATAGAGAGTGGAGTACAACAGCGGCCTTGCTGCGCCAAGCACTGGCAGCAGTGATGATGACGACGACGCCGGTTACCGTCCCGAGTCTCGGAATCGCGGCGGCCTGAACAGCTCCCGAGGACCGCGGCTGACGGCCGTCGAAGCAGAAAAGCGGCTTTCGAAAAGGAGGTGACGAGAAACGGGCGAGGGATGCGGACGGGAGGATGAAGAGGAGGATGAAGAGGAGGAGGAAGATTTCATTCACCCGCTCGCGACGCGTTCACTCCGCTGTCCGCCATGAGCAATGACTTCCCCCCCCCCCCACTGCTGGGGGAGGAGTAGTGGTGGTGGTGGGGGGGTGGAGCGCGCGCAAACCACTTCCGGGGTTATTCCCGCCTATTTTTTTTACCGGAACACGTTTGGGGGCGGCTACACCGGAGCACGTGGGGGTGGCCGCAACCGGAACACGTGGGGCGGTATCACCGGAACACGTGGGTTTTTTACTGTCACACCGGAACACGTGGGTTTTACTGTCACACCGGAACACGTGGGGCGGTATCACCGGAACACGTGTTTTTTACTGTCACACCGGAATACGTGGTTTTTACTGTCACACCGGAACACGTGGTTTTTACTGTCACACCGGAACACGTGGTTTTTACTGTCACACCGGAACACGTGGTTTTTACTGTCACACCGGAACACGTGGGTTTTACTGTCACACCGGAACACGTGGTTTTTACTGTCACACCGGAACACGTGGGTTTTTTACTGTCACACCGAAACACGTGATTTTTACTGTCACACCGGAACACGTGGGTTTTACTTTCACACCGGAACACGTGGGTTTTACTCCCACACCGGAACACGTGGTTTTTACTGTCACACCGGAACACGTGGGTTTTACTGTCACACCGGAACACGTGTTTTTTACTGTCACACCGGAACACGTGGTTTTTTACTGTCACACCGGAACACGTGTTTTTTACTGTCACACCGGAACACGTGTTTTTTTACTCCCACACCGGAACACGTGTTTTTTACTCCCACACCGGAACACGTGGGTTTTACTGACACACTGGAACACGTGGGTTTTACTCCCACACCGGAACACGTGGGTTTTACTGTCACACCGGAACACGTGTTTTTTACTGTCACACCGGAACACGTGTTTTTTACTGTCACACCGAAACACGTGATTTTTACTCCCACACCGGAACACGTGGGTTTTACTGTCACACCGGAACACGTGGGTTTTACTCCCACACCGGAACACGTGGTTTTTACTGTCACACCGGAACACGTGGGTTTTACTGTCACACCGGAACACGTGTTTTTTACTGTCACACCGGAACACGTGGTTTTTTACTGTCACACCGGAACACGTGTTTTTTACTGTCACACCGGAACACGTGTTTTTTTACTCCCACACCGGAACACGTGTTTTTTACTGTCACACCGGAACACGTGGTTTTTACTGTCACACCGGAACACGTGGGTTTTACTGTCACACCGGAACACGTGTTTTTTACTGTCACACCGGAACACGTGTTTTTTTACTCCCACACCGGAACACGTGGGTTTTACTGACACACTGGAACACGTGGGTTTTACTAACACACCGGAACACGTGGGTTTTACTGACACACCGGAACACGTGTTTTTTACTGTCACACCGGAACACATGTTTTTTTACTCCCACACCGGAACACGTGTTTTTTACTGTCAAACCGGAACACGTGGGTTTTACTAACATACCGGAACACGTGTTTTTTTACTGTCACAGCGGAACACGTGTTTTTTACTGTCACACCGGAACACGTGTTTTTTTACTCCCACACCGGAACACGTGTTTTTTACTGTCACACCGGAACACGTGGGTTTTACTGTCACACCGGAACACGTGTTTTTTACTGCCACACCGGAACACGTGTTTTTTTACTCCCACACCGGAACACGTGTTTTTTTACTCCCACACCGGAACACGTGTTTTTTACTCCCACACCAGAACACGTGTTTTTTACTGTCACACCGGAACACGTGATTTTTACTGACACACCGGAACACGTGTTTTTTACTGTCACACCGGAACACGTGTTTTTTACTGTCACACCGGAACACGTGTTTTTTTACTCCCACACCGGAACACGTGTTTTTTACTGTCACACCGGAACACGTGGGTTTTACTGTCACACCGGAACACGTGTTTTTTACTGCCACACCGGAACACGTGTTTTTTTACTCCCACACCGGAACACGTGTTTTTTTACTCCCACACCGGAACACGTGTTTTTTACTGTCACCACACAGAACACGTGTTTTTTACTGTCACACCGGAACACGTGGTTTTTACTGACACACCGGAACACGTGTTTTTTACTCCCACACCGGAACACGTGGGGCGGCCACACCGGAGCATGTGGGGGTGGCCGCAACCGGAACACGTGGGGCGGTATCACCGGAACACGTGGGTTTTACTGACACACCGGAACACGTGGGTTTTACTGTAACACCGGAACACGTGGGTTTTTACTGTCACACCGGAACACGTGGTTTTTACTGTCACACCAGAACACGTGTTTTTTACTGTCACACCGGAACACGTGTTTTTTACTGACACACCGGAACACGTGGTTTTTACTGACACACTGGAACACGTGTTTTTTACTGTCACACCGGAACACGTGGGTTTTACTGTCACACCGGAACACGTGTTTTTACTGACACACCGGAACACGTGGGTTTTACTGTCACACCGGAACACGTGGTTTTTACTGACACACCGGAACACGTGGGTTTTACTGTCACACCGGAACATGTGTTTTTTACTGTCACACCGGAACACGTGGGTTTTACTGTCACACCGGAACACGTGTTTTTTACTGTCACACCGGAACACGTGTTTTTTTACTGTCACACCGAAACACGTGGGTTTTACTCCCACACCGGAACACGTGGGTTTTACTGTCACACCAGAACACGTGTTTTTTACTGTCACACCGGAACACGTGTTTTTTACTGTCACACCGGAACACGTGTTTTTTACTCCCACACCGGAACACGTGGGTTTTACTGTCACACCGGAACACGTGGGTTTTACTGTCACACCGGAACACGTGTTTTTTACTCCCACACCGGAACACGTGTTTTTACTGTCACACTGGAACACGTATTTTTTTACTGTCACACCGGAACACGTGTTTTTTACTCCCACACCGGAACACGTGTTTTTTACTGTCACACTGGAACACGTGGTTTTTACTGTCACACCGGAACACGTGGGTTTTACTCCCACACCGGAACACGTGGTTTTTACTGTCACACCAGAACACGTGGGTTTTACTCCCACACCGGAACACGTGGGTTTTACTGCCACACCGGAACGTGTTTTTACTGTCACACCGGAACACGTGTTTTTTACTCCCACACCGGAACACGTGGTTTTTGAGCCACACCGGAACACGTGTTAATGGCCACACCAGAACACGTGGTTCGGCTACACAGGAACACGTGTTTTTTGAGCCACACCGGAACACATTGGGTGGCCACACCGGAACACGTGGTTACGGCCACGCCGGAACACGTGGTTACGGCTACACCGGAACACGTGTGGCGGCCACACCGGAACACGTGGTTCAGCCACACCAGAACACGTGGAGACGGCCACACCGTAACACGTGGTTTTGTGGAATCGGTTGTGTAAAAACAAATCTATGTTTGCTATTCAGTTTCAGGTCAGTTTATTTTGAAGTACCCCGTGAACCAAGAAGCTCTTAAATCGGGTTTCATAAACACAAGCAACACCACCGTCGCTTCTCCGAAAAGCGCAACGCATCCATTAACCCCCCCCCCTCGCACGTAAAGAGCTTACAAGTGACGTCATCACATCTACCCCTCTATTTAAGGAACGAAACAGGAAGATTTCTCCACAAATCTGTCGCCTGATGAAGCTAGTTGTTATTACTGGCGAAACGTCGTTCTCAGGTTGTAAATGTTGTGGATTTGCTCTCCAACACACCGGTGTGCTGCACTAGTAAGGAATTGGCACGTTCTGTTAACATGACAACCCCCTTACTAATTGGCTGTGTCGGGTGGTGGCGGGTTTAACGACGCATTTATATTTACGCGATCTAACTAAACAAACACTATTATAAACGCAACGATTCAGTAAACAATAACGGATGGCAAATAAAAAAAAGCTAGCAAATCATAATCGAAATATCCATTCTTTTTGTTTAAATAAAAATTAAGTTAAACATAGATTGTCATCAAATACCACGCTGTATCTCTACAGAATGCGAATTTAAATCTGCCGTAGTAATTATGAATTCAGATACAGCCTCAAACACGATGGGCGTAATACGATTGGGCAAGTCGCTGATACGGCAATGTCTTCACGTGACCCGTTCGTCCACTAGAGGGCGGCACACCCGCGATGTTTAAAAACAACAAAAACTCAATTCTTGATACTCGAATCTGGAGCCCGTGTGTCGGGTGAGGAATTATTTACGACCCCGATACCGTAGCGTACAACATAGCGTGTCGAGCCATGCGGTTTACTCCGTATTATTGTGCAGGGAAATTGAGTTTTCAGGTCCATACGGCGGCCAGCAGTTTCAATATGTGGAACAACAAAACAGAATGTCTATTTGTGTGTTTCTCCCTCGTGATGGGACTTTGTAGGATGAACGTTGAGATTTATAAGGGACACGGGGTGACCAATAAGGTCTGCATTGGTCTGTGATAAGGTAGGGCACTGATAAGGGGTTGACAGGTATGGAGACCCCACAGAGACCCACAGAGATGCTTAGCTGTCAACCCATATGGCTTACCCCATATTCTTGTGCAGGGGAAATTGAGTTTTCAGGTCCATACAGCGTACAGCCGTTTTAATACGGGCAAATAAATACAAATGCTGTTTATTTGTTTGTGTTTCTCCCTTGTGATGGAACTTTGTAGGATGAACGTTGAGATTTATGAGGGCATGGGGTGACCAATAAGGTCTGAATTTGTCTGCAATAAGTTAGGGCACTGATAAGGAATTGACAGGTGTGGTACAAGCCCTTGGCTATTGCACCGGGATCGTGCGGCATCGTCCGTAAACGCCCCGTTCACCTGTCGCACTGATACCAGTGTGGGACTTCATCGGCGACTGACATCGTCAGGCACGATCAATCCACTGCTGGATGGAAACCTTCTCCAAGCCATCTCTCACCACCCTGTAATAATCCGCCGGTGGGCAGCTCTATGAATCTTAGTGAACAAAAAGACAACTCTATACGGCTGCAATGTCCTTTAATGGCCGCTACTGCCGACGATCTTGGGCCGTGACTGTCCTTGCCAACAGAGCTCCCTGGCTCAATGTGGTGATGGGGGGGGGGGGCTAACTACCAGCTGATGAAATGATATAATCTTGAGTCCGACCGCGTCTTGATCACCAACCGTTCACGACGCGCGGGCCCATTAGCAATGCAATTGAAATGGACAGCGCCCTGGTGCTGATTCTGCCTCCGCCTCCCGCCAGCGGTTTGCTGTTGCGAGAGCCGGTGTTGGCGTGACGCACAGCGAGAGAAGGGATGACGCAAGGCGAGCCGACGCTCATGAATAAAGTAATCCCCAATCGAGGCCGCCTCGAAGCCGGAACCGCCCACACATACAGAGTGGGGTGGTGGCGGGGGGGGTGGAAATAACACATTACCCCCCAGACCCAACCCAAGGCTTTCGCCTCCAAAGCCTCACCAATACGTCCCGCTCTCTCCCTCGCTGCGCTCCCAACATAATAGTAAGACAACAACAATAATAATAATAAAAATAAAGAGAGGTATTCATAAGAGACGTTGCCGCCACGCTTGTCTGCACACACTCTGTGTGCGTGTGGTGTGTGGCGAGCTCGAGCTTGTGCTGCACGGGGGACATGCAAGCGGGCGTACGAAGTGCGCGTCTAATGCAGCGGCGTTAGGCATTCCCGCTCGCGTGTTCATCGTACAAGAGTTGGTTGCGTAACAAGGGTGCGCGCGCGCGCGCGCACGGCACGGCGTGTTGATTGCTGCGTCCGTAGCGTTGCGAGCGGCGGTGATTGACTGAATTTTCCGAATAGATTGGGAGGAGATCATTGCTCGGCGGACGTACGCACGGGCGGGACGCACGGACGGACGGAGAGAATTGAGTCATCGTTGGTGCTTGGGAAAGGAAATTTGCGTGCGGCGAGAGTTCATTGAGCCGGCCAGATGCTGGGATCAACCATCGCGGCAGCGAGCCACTAGAGACGATACTGTACGAGGAACGTGTTTCGGAAGGAGTTTGTCGATGTCATCAAGACAAGAGGCGATAGCGGATGAGCGACATTGGGTGATCGTCGAGGGCTCATGTCGAGAACATAAGTCGAGGATCAGCAGTAGCATCAGCACAAGGCGAGCAGAGCGACGTCGGGACATCGTCACGAGCTAACATTACTATCAGTTCATCATCTAAGGATTCATCAGATCATCAGCAGCATCATCATCAGCATCATCACGAGACTAATGGAGTGACATCACGACATCGTTAGTTAGACATAAATTGAGTCGCTCTTATCGAGCCAGTGAGCGAGTAGGTTGCTCCTCCACCCCACTTGTCTCCATCTACACGCGGGGAGGGACCCCCCCCCCCACCACCACCGTGCGCGCGCCAGAAGTAAAAAAAAAATCGCCTGCAGCCTCCTCAACGTCGCGGATCGTCGCAGAATCTCCCAACGCGCGCCTGCTGCGCCGCAACTCCCCCAGCCATGGACGGCGGCGGCGGCGGCGGCGGCCCGGTGGCGAGAAAGCGTTCGACGAAGTCCGCGGGAGGCGACAGAGCTCCGGCGACGACGGTGGAGGGGGCGTCGCCTGAACGAGGGGTCGGCGAGGGCCGCGGAGTGACCCTCAAGCAGGAGATCGGCCTCGTGAGCGCGTGCGGCATCATCGTGGGTGCGCGGCCCCCTGCGTCACGTGACCTCCATTGTTCCCAGCCTCGTGCGCAATCATCGCCACCGTCACCACCTTGGTCTGACGTCATCGTCACCACGGCAACATCTGCCGCCGCGGCATTGCCATTGTGACGTCGTCGTCGTCATCATCATTATCGTCGTCATCATCCTCATAGTCATCATCGTCGTCATTGTCATCATCGTCGTCATCATCGTCATCGGTATTCATGCTGTTGCGTTGGAAGTGGTGCACACATCTCAATACATTCGTCAATAACATTGTGTGTGATCCGAAAAGGAAAAGTATATAACAGTCGACGTTTCACACTATGGCCCTTCTTCATATAGCATGTAATATGTTTTCATTTTAATGGAAGGCGGTTTTATTGATGAATATTTTTAGTTGTTTTGTCATCGTCATCATTAGCAGCAGCAGCAGATGTAGCAATATCATCAGAAGCATAAATCAATCCGTCAGATGCAGAAGAATCATCATCAGCAGCAGTAAAGTGTCATAAGCAGCATGATTATCGTCATCGTTGACATCAGCAGAAGTATCATCATTATCAGCAGCAGAAGAAGCATTATTAGTAGGAGCAAAATAATAATCAGCAGCAGAATCATCATCATAAGAAGCATGATTAGTAGGAGCAAAATCATAATCAGCAGCAGAATCATCATCAGCACCATCAGCATCAATATGGGCAGGAGCAGCAGAAGCATCATCAGAAAAATCATTATCATCACCAGCAGTAGCAGCAGCAGCGGAATCATCAACATGGTCAGCAGCAGAATCACGAGTAGTAGAATCATTAGCAGGAGCAGCATCATCATCGCTACCAACACGTTCTGTCGATTGCTGCTGTTCACGCCGTTATGTAACCAACCGCGTGTTCATTGCCACAGTTAAGCATGTTACTGAATCATCGAAAACATCACTTTAAAAAAATGGGACCTTTTTTGGCAGTATCAAAGTATGAAAAAATAAGATTCGGTTTTAATCTCTTTGGCAATAACAGGAGTTGTGCTAACATGTTCAAACACCAAATAGAAACGTTTTTTCAAGTAATCAAGTACTGCATCAACCACGCAGAGTACATGCGGCGGACATGCAAACACAACATACTCTGGTAATATACGTATTTGCATGTTCACCACAAGTACTGTGCGTGCGTGTGCGCGTGTGTGCGCGCGCGTTCGTGTGTGGTTAATGCAGAGACTTTAATTCCTTGCGATAGGTTTCTGTTTGGTGTTTGAACATCTGAGGTAGGGGGCCATCCATTGAGTAGGTACGCAAAAAATCTGTCAGAACTTGACCCCTCTCCCCATCCCTGTACGCACGCGGAGTTTTTTACACCGCCCCCCCCCCCCCCCAGCTGCGTACGTACGCCTGACGCACCCCCCCCCCCCCGGAATCCTATAGAACGGCCGATATTTAATCCACGCAGAAACGATCAAGGATTAATAATATTAACGTGTTTAAGCAAACAGATAGTCCACCGCCGGACGATCTAACTCATTTGAAGGCCAATGTAGACAAATTATTATCGAGGCTTCACCCCCCCCCCCCCCCCCCCCCACGTTTCCTATGCGTACGCACATTGTCAGTAGACCCCCCCCCCCAATACGCAAGCGAACGCATTTGGGTTAACCCCCCTCTCCTCCTCCATGCGTACCTACTAAATGGATGGCCTCTTAATAGCCGTTATAGCTGCTCACCACGAGCTATAAGTGCCCTGACAGTGGCGTTGTCTTTGTGCTGTTCGCCTTGTGGCGTCCTCTGGATGGTGGCGGTACTTGGGGCGTCGCGAAGGGGTAGGCGGGATGGATGGGAAGGAGATGAGCAAGCGAGGGGAGGGAAGAGAGATTGGGGGGATAGAGAAGAGGCGAGGCTACCCGGCGCCTGGCTCACTCACCCCCCCCCCCCCGCCCCCCCCCGACGTCGTTCGCAAGAGCGGGCCCATCGTCGCACTCGTCACACACAGAGCGCTCGTCGCTTGATGTCGTCAAGGGGAATTGACCAGCAGAGACCCAACTCGGGCGGTCATTTCAGTTTCATTTCACCTTCATTTATTAGATACTAGCTGTACTACCCGGCGTCGCCCGGCCGACTTTGTCTCCCCAGTGGCGATGTTCACACACCACAGCAGTTACTCGTTTGAGGCTGAGTCGACCTAGGGGTGGGCCAGGACCGTTTCAAATAATCGTCACCGGTGTTGGCCGTGAGCGGGAATCGAACTCGCGTCGCCGGGTTCGTAGCGCAGCGTATCGATAACCGCTACCCTAAAGTGCCGGATTATGCTCGTAGCAAAAGTAGCTGCATATGCGACGGGCCCCGCACTTTCAAGGGCCCCGCGCTAAATGCTTTCAAGCTATCAATTCCGGTTCAGTTACTCTGCACTTGCTCTATTACTACAGTACTATACCGCCTTCAACTTTTACGAACAACTCGGTGTTTAAGGTTAGCGATTTGTCGTATCATCTGGCTGTATAGTAAATGAAAAAGTACAATTACTTTGCTATGCAAGTTAAAAATGCGTGTGCTTTAATATTGACGTGTTTTTTATATTTAGGGCCCCTTTTTAACATTTGCTACAGGCCCCGCCCTTAGCTTAATCCGGCACTGCTACCCTACCACCCTAATCACAATCATCCCGTCCTCAAACTATCCCGTTTCCATCATACAATCACGGACCGCCGACGGTTGCCAACTCTGAGCGACAAAAAAAAAACCCGGGACGCATCGTAGAAAGAAAAGGAAATACCTGACGACATGAGGACAAAAAACGGGGAATCTCAAAAGCCCTGGGAAGCATTACAGATTTCCTAGGGTAGCAGTTACAGTCCGTTCTCGCGCAACGCGAATTGGACATATATAACGCGATTAATGCATTAGAGGGACCGCACTTTTTATAACGCGATGCGAATTGGATATAACGCGATCGAGTGAACGGAACGACGTCGCAGCGCGAGTTAGGAATAAGCGGCTGTGACGGCTACCTCGGCGTCGCCGGATGCTTCTAGATGCGAGCCACGCGCAACCTCGGCCTCTGTTCGGCCTGCGTAGGCATCTCGCGTGTCACCGCGGACTGTGCTTCACTCCCCATGTTGTACATTATTGATGATAACGCGATGTTTACAAAAACGCGGCGTTCTTTAGCCTCAGCGGTGATCTGTCCCGTCGGAACACCGCGTTATATGAGAACAGACATGGGACGGTTCTGGGAAAAACCAGGACGGGTGGCAACCATATCACCCACCATCATCATCATCATCATTTAACTCCCATAATTACCATTATTTGACTTATGGCAACCATAGCACCCACCACCATCATAATTTAAGTCCCATAATTACCATTATTTGACCACCTATCTGCCAATGGCTATCGAGCCACTTTGTGTCAGAGTCGAAAGGTTCAATCCCCACGAAAATCCGCCCTGCAATTAGCAAATGGGATGTTTACACGGCGCATATCAATCGAGGGTTTAAATTTAGCCGGCACTGCTGAGTTAAATTCCTGGTTTCAGCCACCCGTTATTAAACTGGGTCCTCCGGTGGTGATGAGTTGGTTGTCTCAGATACTCACACAGAGACCCAGACACACACAAAGAGCCATAGACTCACTCAGAGACACAGACTCACAGAGATCCACAGGCTCAAACAGAGAGCCAAAGACTCACACAGATACCCAGACTCACATAGAGAGCCATAGACTCAGACAGAGAGCCAGACTCACATAGAGAGCTATAGACTCACACAAAGAGTCATAGACTCACTCAGAGACACAGACTCACAGAGTGCCACAGACTCACACAGAAAGTCATAGACTCACACATTGACTAACTCAGAGATCCAGACTCACACAGAGAGCTATAAACTCACACAAAGAGCCATAGACTCACTCAGAGACACAGACGCACACAGAGAGCCACAGACTCGCACAGAGAGCCAAAGACTCACACAGATACCCAGGCTCACACAGAGAGCCCTAGACTCAGACAGAGAGCCAGAAACTCACACAGAGAGCCACAGACTAACTCAGAGATCCAGACTCACACAGAGAGCTATAAACTCGCACAGAGAGCCATAGACTCAGATAACCATAGACTGGCATCGGGACCCAGTGACCCAGGGACTCTGCGCCTATTTAAGTGCAGGCTCTAAGACCTCCCTCCCTTCTTCCTGGGCCCCGCAGGGAACATCATCGGCTCGGGGATCTTCGTGTCGCCCAAGGGGGTGATGGAGAACGCCGGCTCGGTGGGGGTGGCTCTGGTCGTGTGGATCGTCACAGGCGTCATCACCGCCATCGGCGCGCTCTGCTACGCCGAGCTGGGGGTCACCATCCCCAAGTCCGGTGGAGACTACAGCTACGTCACCGATATATTCGGCAGCCTGGCGGGGTGAGTGGGTCAGTGGGTGGGTGAGAGGATGGATGGGCAGGTGGGTGGGTGGTTGGACGGGTGAGTCAGTGGGTGATTGAGTGAGTTGGTGAGTAGATTGATGGGCAAGGAAATGGGTGGTTGAGTGAGTGGGTGGGAGGATGGATGAACGGGTGAGTGGGTGGTTGAGTGATTGGTTAGGAGGGAGGGAGGATGGATGAACGGGTGAGTGGGTGGGTGAGTCAATAGGTCGTTGAGTGAGTTGGTGGGTGGGTGGATGGGTGAATGGGTGAATGGGTGAGTGAGTGGGGTGGGCGTGTGGATGGGTGAATGGGTGAGTGAGTGGGGTGGTGAATGGGTGCGTGAGTGGGGTGGGTGGGTGAATGGGTAAGTGAGTGCGGTGGGTGAATGGGTGAGGGAGTGGGGTGGGTGGGTGAATGGGTGAGTGAGTGGGGTGGGTGGGTGAATGGGTGAGTGGGGTGGGTGGGTGCGTGAATGGGTTAGTGGGATGGGTGGGTGCGTAAATGGGTGAGTGGGGTGATGAATGGGTGCGTGAGTGGGGTGGGTGGGTGAATGGGTAAGTGAGTGCGGTGGGTGAATGGGTGAGGGAGTGGGGTGGGTGGGTGAATGGGTGAGTGAGTGGGGTGGGTGGGTGAATGGGTGAGTGGGGTGGGTGGGTGCGTGAATGGGTTAGTGGGGTGGGTGGGTGCGTAAATGGGTGAGTGAGTGGGGTGATGAATGGGTGCGTGAGTGGGGTGGGTGAATGGGTGAGTGAGTGGGGTGAGTGGATGGGTGGGTGAATGGTGAGTGAGTGAGTGGGTGAATGGTGAGTGAGTGGGGTGGGTGAATGGGTGAGTGGGGTGGGTGGGTGGATGGGTGAGTGAGTGGGGTGGGTGGGTGGGTGCATGGGTGAGTGAGTGGGGTGGGTGGATGGGTGAGTGAGTGGGGTGGATGGGTGAATGGGTGAGTGAGTGGGGTTGGATGGGTGAATGGGTGAGTGAGTGGGGTGGGTGGGTGAATGGGTGAGTGAGTGGGGTGGGTGGATGGGTGAGTGAGTTGGGTGAATGGGTGAGCGAGTGGGGTTGGTGGGTGAATGGGTGAGTGGGGCGGATGGATGGATGGGTGAGTGAGTGGGGTAGGTGGATAAATGGGTGAGTGGGGTGGGTGGGTGGGTGGATGGGTGAGTGAGTGGGGTGGATGGGTGGATGGGTGAGTGAGTGGGGTGGGTGGGGTGGATGGGTGAATGGGTGAGTGAGTGGGGTGAATGGGTGAGTGAGTGGGGTGGGTGGGTGGGTGAGTGAGTGGGGTGGGTGGGGTGGATGGGTGAGTGAGTGGGGTGGGTGGGGTGGGTGGGGTGGATGGGTGAGTGAGTGGGGTGAATGGATGAGCGAGTGGGGTGGGTGGGGTGGATGGGTGGATGGGTGAGTAAGTGGGGTGAATGGGTGAGTGAATGGGGTGGGTGGGTGGGTGAGTGAGTGGGGTGGGTGGGGTGGATGGGTGAGTGAGTGGGGTGGGTGGGGTAGGTGGGGTGGATGGGTAAGTGAGTGGGGTGAATGGATGAGCGAGTGGGGTGGGTGGGGTGGATGGGTGAATGGGTGAGTGAGTGGGGTGGGTGGGTGAGTGAGTGGGGTGAGTGGGTGAGTGAGTGGGGTGGGTGGATGGGTGGGTGGGTGAGTGAGTGGGGTGGGTGGATGGGTGGGTGGGTGAGTGAGTGGGGTGAGTGGGGTGAGTGGGTGAGTGAGTGAACCAAGACCGAGAGAGGTGCGGGCGGGACGCGGCTGCGATCCGACGACGATGGCGGCGGTGTCGCGAGAAGAGCCCCACGGCAATCATCGTGGGATGACGCGCGCTCTCAACGCCTCCGCCGATTGCAATCATGCCGCCTGGTCTCGTTTACACGCACACACACACAGACAACGATCCCCCGTGTAGCCTTGACAAACTGTTGGGGCAAGTGCTATTATCGAGCACCTATGAAGGCCGGCACGGAACACGGGGGGGTGGGTGGCCAGCACCACGCCCGACCGCCTTTGTCTCCCCAGTGGCGATGTATACACACCGCACCAGGTACTCATTTGTGGCTGAGTCGACCTCGGGGAGGACCAGTTCAGATAATAGTCACTGGCTTTGTCCGTGAGCGTGAATCTAACTCGGGTCGTCAGTTTCGTAGCGCAGCGCGCTAACCGCGTCGCTACAACTCCCCACCACGCACACACACACACATGCGCGCGCGCACACACACGCGCGCGCTCACGCAACAACCCCCATTTGCCACTAAGTCCCAGTGTCGTCACCGCGGCGCTTGAGCCAGGGTAGGTGCACTTTATTGAGGCCACGTAAATCGTCGAAAGCTCGCGCTGTTAGCGGGACGTCACAGGACAGAGCCAGGTGCCGTGGGTTGACTGGCCCAGCTGACTGGCCCAGCTGACCGGCCCAGCTGACTGGCCCAGATGACTGGCCCAGCTGACTGGCCCAGATGACTGGCCCAGCTGACTGGCCCAGCTGACTGGCCCAGATGACTGGCCCAGCTGACTGGCCTAGATGACTGACCCAGATGGCTGACCCAGATGACTGACCCAGCTGACTGGCCCAGCTGACTGACCCAGATGACTGGCCCAGCTGACTGGCCCAGATGACTGGCCCAGATGACTGGCCTAGATGACTGACCCAGCTGACTGACCCAGCTGACTGACCCAGCTGACTGGCCCAGCTGACTGGTCCAGCTGACTGGCCCAGCTGACCGGCCCAGATGACTGACCCAGCTGACTGACCCAGCTGACTGACCCAGCTGACTGACCCAGCTGACTGGCCCAGCTGACTGGTCCAGCTGACTGGCCCAGCTGACTGGTCCAGCTGACTGGCCCAGATGACCGGCCCAGATGACTGACCCAGCTGACTGACCCAGCTGACTGACCCAGATGACTGACCCAGCTGACTGGCCCAGCTGACCGGCCCAGATGACTGACCCAGCTGACTGACCCAGCTGACTGACCCAGCTGACTGGCCCAGCTGACTGGTCCAGCTGACTGGCCCAGCTGACTGGTCCAGCTGACTGGCCCAGATGACTGACCCAGCTGACCGGCCCAGATGACTGACCCAGCTGACCGGCCCAGATGACTGGCCCAGCTGACTGACCCAGCTGACTGGCCCAGCTGACTGGTCCAGCTGACTGGCCCAGCTGACTGGTCCAGCTGACTGGCCCAGATGACTGACCCAGCTGACTGGCCCAGATGACTGACCCAGCTGACTGGCCCAGCTGACCGGCCCAGATGACTGGCCCAGATGACTGACCCAGCTGACTGGCCCAGCTGACTGGTCCAGCTGACTGGTCCAGATGACCGGCCCAGATGACCGGCCCAGATGACTGGCCCAGATGACTGGCCCAGATGACTGGCCCAGATGACTGGCCCAGCTGACTGGCCCAGCTGACTGGCCCAGATGACTGGCAACCCTGCAAAATACAACCGCCAAAGACGCACGGCATGCACACACACAAAAGACAAAGACCCCCGCCCGTGTATAGCCTCAACAGACTGTGTGGGACAAGTGCTTGTGAGCGCGTGTGATCGTGACGGAGGCAGCCAGCGTCTTGGCCTCCCCGCGGTGATTTGTCGCCGTTTCTATGACAGACGCCGCATCGGCTCCCGCTTCTGATTATGATTTATTGCTCTTAGTATTATTGTTCTTTCACGATTCCGGAGGAGCCCGACCTCGTCATTCGACCAATCCAAAGCTTGATTTTGACCATCGCGCCTTTCGCCGTAGGATTTGACGCCGGGCCACACATTTAAACAACCCGTAGAACAGACTCGCGTCGACACAAAATGCATGTGCGGCGTTGCCTCGGATTCCCCGTGAGCCCAGACCAGGCATCGCACTCGTCCACACACCAGCTGCGGTGGCGTTCCTGCGGCGGTCCCAAATGTCCTGACGAGGCCAATGATAGTGGGCTGCGTGATGTGTGTTTGGACTTTTTTCGCACCGTACGTAGCCAACTGTGCCACATCGGAAATGTTCGTGAAATCGGTAGGCGTATAATTAGACAGCACAACAAAGGCCATGTACATCAGTTCGTCCTGAATCTTGATTTGAAGCTTTCGTGACTGCAGGAATCCCATACTCTTTGGTTATTTCGGTAAAGTCACGTGGGTAGAAAAAAATAATAGATCGCGACGTTTCGATCGCAACGCAAGCAACCGTCTTCAGGTTGAAGACGGTTGCCACGTGACTTTACCGAAAGAATCAAAGAGTACAGTTCGTACTGCTTGAGCCACATTGCATACCTGTCAACTCATACGGTTTACCCGTATTCTTGTACAGGGAAATTGAGTAAATCTATTTGTTTGTGTTTCTGCCTTGTGATGGGACTTTGTAGGATGAACGTTGAGATTTATAAGGGGCACTGGGTGACCAATAAGGTCTGAATTGGTCTGTAATAAGGTAGGGCAATTGATGAGGGAGTTGACAGCTGTGGTGGTGTTGGCACTGCAAGACAGAGAGGAACGTGGAAACAACACGTCACGAAATGTGCTGTCTCGCCCATGTATCGCGATGGTGATGATGGCGACGATGGCGGATGATAAACATCAGTAATACAAAGAACCTGGATTGTCTTATCAATCCAACTCCCCCCAGCGGAGTAAACGTGCCCCATAAACCGACCCCCATAAACAGCGGTGCCAAGCTGACGGATAGGTCGACCCCCACAGGGATGTCGCGTCAGATCGACGGGACGGGGGCTTTCGGGAAACCGTTTCAATGTCCACGGAATCGGAATCTGTATTTATCCTGGAAGAATCCGATGAGCTGTAAAACTCTTCTTTTTTTAACCGCAGATGTCCAGTAGGGAGGCGACTCGCCTTCACGAGGGTGCCGCTACATCGGAGAGTTCGCGATATTTTTTTGCTCCGTGTCGAAGAGAACCCTAGATACCCGCAGAGGGCTGTGACGCACTGAGGGCGCCGCACAGATAGATTCAATAATCTACCGCCGCTGCAGCCAGCCACGCGGGTATTTCCCAACGCCAGCACATCGCCATTCGTAATTCCGACATGCCAATCTATTGGTGGATTCCCTAAAAAATAAAAAAGGTTAATTAGTTTTGTTTGACATTGTTATTCAATCGTTTTGATATTTACGTTCTTTATGATTATTTTTCGTGTATATATTAAATGTTAAAAGTAGAGTTGAAACGACTGTCCGAGACACACCTCCGATTGGGCACGGTTGACTATGTACGGCGCGAAGGAAGTTCAACGTACACAGTCCATACGGCACGTAAGTTGAAATGAAATGGGGAGGAGCCGTTACGATTCGCGAAATGTCGTTTCACACACACACACGCGCGCACGTGTGTGATTTTCTTCTTCGGGAAGAACGTCGAGGAATACAGCACCCCACTATAGGATCGCAGAGCTTTGGGGTGATGGATTCTTGGTCCCCGGTTACGAGTAATACAGCACCCCACTATAGGATCGCAGAGCTTTGGGGTGATGGATTCTTGGTCCCCGGTTAAGAGTAATACAGCACCCCACTATAGGATCGCAGAGCTTTGGGGTGATAGATTCTTGGTCCCCGGTTACGAGTAATACAGCACCCCACTATAGGATCGCAGAGCTTTGGGGTGATGGATTCTTGGTCCCGGGTTACGAGTAATACAGCACCCCACTATAGGATCGCAGAGCTTTGGGGTGATGGATTCTTGGTCCCCGGTTACGAGTAATACAGCACCCCACTATAGGATTGCAGAGCTTTGGGGTGATGGATTCTTGGTTCCGGGTTACGAGGAATACAGCACCCCACTATAGGATCGCAGAGCTTTGGGGTGATGGATTCTTGGTCCCCGGTTACGAGTAATACAGCACCCCACTATAGGATCGCAGAGCTTTGGGGTGATGGATTCTTGGTCCCCGGTTACGAGTAATACAGCACCCCACTATAGGATCGCAGAGCTTTGGGGTGATGGATTCTTGGTCCCCGGTTACGAGTAATACAGCACCCCACTATAGGATCGCAGAGCTTTGGGGGGGCTTGCGAGGGTGCTTTACCACCGTGCATCTTTTTCGACGATCACCCTCCTCATCGATGCACAGCCACAGCCACAGGAATAATTAACGAGCGAATGAACATCAACCGCTAATTAATCTCTCCTCCTCCTCCTGCTCCCCAACACCCTCAATCTCTATCTCTCGGGCCTGAATCTCTCCTCTCTCATCTCTCACTCCCCCGAATCTATTTCCGTCGACAGCAGCAAACCTCTCCTCGTCATCACACCCCTTTCTCCCTTGATAATTTCTCTCCTGTCATCTCACGAGGCATTTATGAAATTAAAGTGGAGTGGGGTGGGGAGGGGGGGATTAGGGGAGCCAAAAATATAGTGGGGGGCAAGAGGGGGGTGGGGACATATAAAAACTCAGGAGGGGGGTGATGAGGATTGGGAGGTGAGGGGGGGTAACGTTGCAATCTCCTTGCGTCTGTCATGAACATATCAAGGAGTGTTGCCAGCGAGTTTTTCATCCATCATCATCGTCATCATCTATCCACTGCTGGATGAAGGCCACCCCGAGCCGTCGCCACCTCCCACGCACGCTCCTGCGACCGATGCGACACTCCCGTCCAGCATCACGCACAGACCTTTGCCCATTTCATCGCTCCATCTCCTGCGCGTTGAGAGCACGGCTAGGAGATGTTAACTCCCTCGCCTGGTATGCAGGAGGTCGTGGATTTGGATCCCGGCTCCGACGCCTGTTGTATTTTTGCAGTTTGCGGTGTCTCTCCCCCCGTAGTCGCGTGGTTTTTCTCCGGGTCCTCCGGTTTTTCCCTCCCCACTTAGCATCAGCGTGCGTTTTCGAGTTTTTGGCTGCTGTATATTTCCACGTGGTAAGCCACGTGGAAGCGACCTGTGTGGCCAGGTTGCTTCTGAAAAAAAAAGAGTTGTTGAGCTCAGTGGGCCTCACCTGGTAAAATAAAACGTACGGTATATGTGACAGTGTCTTTGCAGGTATATATGGGGGGGGGGGAGGAGTGGTGGTGTAGCGGTTAGCGCTCCAAACACCGGCAACACGAGTTCGATTCCCACTCACGGCCACCAACGCCGGTGACGAATATCAGAACCGGTCCTGGACCTCCCCTAGCCTTCAATGAGCACCCCGTGCAGTCTGTAAACGTGAGCATCGGGGAGAGACAAAGGCAGCCAGCACCCGCTTACCAACACCACTTGCCCCAACGGCCTGTTAAAGGTTACATGGGAGACCTTTGTAGTTGTGTGCATGCATTATGAATAAGTGCATGTGTGTGTGTATATGACATGTATGTCTCCAAGGCCCGGCTGTCTCAAGCATGTTTGTCGTTAAAAGCCTCCCGTAAACCACGTGACTTGTGTGTGGCCACCGCACTCTGAATCCCGCCCCTCTCCCCGCCCACTGTGAGAACAGAGTCCGCTCCTCCGTGCACCTCACTTCTCATGCTCGCCTCTTCTCACTTCTTCTCTCTTCCCCTCTCATCATCACCACCCTCTCATCGTCATCACCACCCTCTCATCATCATCACCACCCTCTCATCACCATCCTCTCATCATCACCACCCTCTCATCATCACCACCCTCTCATCATCACCACCCTCTCATCATCATCATCACCATCCTCTCATCATCATCATCCTCTCATCATCATCACCACCCTCTCATCATCATCACCACCCTCTCATCATCATCATCATCACCACCCTCTCATCATCATCACCACCCTCTCATCATCATCACCATCCTCTCATCATCATCACCACCCTCTCATCATCATCACCATCCTCTGATCATCATCACCACCCTCTCGTCATCATCATCACCATCCTCTCATCATCATCATCACCATCCTCTCATCATCATCACCACCCTCTCATCATCATCATCATCACCATCCTCTCATCATCACCATCCTCTCATCATCACCACCCTCTCATCATCATCATCCTCTCATCATCACCACCCTCTCATCATCATCATCACCACCATCCTCTCATCATCATCACCACCCTCTCATCATCATCATCACCATCTTCTCATCATCATCATCATCATCCTCTCATCATCATCGTCCCCTCACCCCCCTCGACATCTTGCGCCGGTGGTGCCTTCTCCCCGTCCCCTTCCCTCCCAGTGCCCCTTTCTGCTGCTCATCTTGAGCCGTGCCGCCCTCCTCCTCTTTGTTTGTCTCGGGGGGGGGCAGTGGGGGGGGGGCGGTGGGAGGGCGGTGGAGGGGGGCCACGCCGCGCCCCACACCCCCTTGACTCTGCTCCCCCTTTCCCGTGTGGCGCTGGCACCGCCACCACCACCACCGGGCAGCTTCCTGCGCCTGTGGATCGCCGTGCTGGTCATCTACCCGACGAACCAGGCGGTGATCGCGCTCACCTTCTCCAGCTACGTGCTGCAGCCCGCCTTCCCCTCCTGCCTCTCGCCCGACCTCGCGCTGCGACTCCTCGCCGCGCTCTGCCTCCGTGAGACTCGCACGCTCTCACTCACACTCTCTCTCGGTGGGTCGTTGTGATCGTCGTCCTCGTTGGGATCATCGTTTTTGTAACTGTGATCATCGTCGTTGTTGTGATCGTCGCTTAGGACGACGTAGCAGCGTCTTCGTAGGCGCGGCGGTGACGCTGTGGGCCTCGCAGCAAGAAGTTCGCCTGGGTTCGATCCCCAACTGGGGCGCTTTTTGTTGTCTGTGTCGGGTTTGTTTGCACGTCGTCTCTCTGCTCTGCGGAGTGTTCCTCGGCGGTGGTGATGGTGGTGTGAGTGGGGCTGTGTTTGTTTTGCTTGGAGCCTTCCAACACTTGACGTGGACACAACGTGCACATCGCCTGGCACAAGGGCCGCGTGCGTGTGTGTGTGTGAGAGTAGCGCGGTGTTCAGCGCGCTGCGCCACGAACCTGGCGACCCCAGTTCGATTCGCGCTCACGACCGACAACACTGGTGGCTGAGTGAGTGGGTGGGGTGAGTGGGTGGGTGGGGTGGAGTGGATAGGTGAGCGAGTGAGTGAGTGGGGTGAGTGAGTGCTTGGGGTGAGTGGGTGGAGTGGATGGGTGAGTGAGTGGATGGGGTGGAGTGGATGGGTGAGTGAGTGGGGTGAGTGGGTGGGTGGGGTAGAGTGGATGGGTGAGTGAGTGGGGTGAGTGAGTGCTTGGGGTGGAGTGGATGGGTGAGTTTTCAGTTATATTTATTTGGTACTAGCTTTCCTATCCGGTTTCGCCCGGGACTTGGATTCACCACGCCCGGCCGCCTTTGTCTCCCCAGTGGCGATGTTCACACACCACACTAGTTACTCGTTTGAGGCTGAGTCGACCTAGGGAAGGCCCAGGACCAGTTCAAATAATCGTCACCGGTGGTGGCCGTGAGCGGGAATCGAACTCGGTTCGCCGGGTTCATAGCGCGGCGTAGCGCTAACCACTACACTACAATGCGTTACGCTTCCACACGTGACAGATTTGACGTCACAGCTCACTTGCCATGCAAAAAAATTCATTATTGAGCTCCCCCCCCCCTCCAAAAAACAAAAGTGTATTTTTTATTTTTTTGCAAGGTGTACAGTTTGGAAAGTACCCATATGGCAAATCTGAAGTGTGCTGCATGTCGGGAAGTACGCTAAACATTTTGAACACACATATTAACAACTTTGCCTTATATATATGGAGATCGCTCTGTGAGCCATTCGGCTCTTGAATCGGGTGAGTGAGTGGGTGGGGTGGAGTGGATGGGTGAGTGAGTGGGGTGAGTGAGTGGGGTGGGTGAGTGGGGTGAGTGAGTGGGTGGGTGGGGTGGAGTGGATGGGTGAGTGGGTGGGTGGGGTGGAGTGGATGGGTGAGTGGGTGGGGTGGAGTGGATGGGTGGGTGAGTGGGTGGGGTGGGTGAGTGGGTGGGGTGGAGTGGATGGGTGAGTGAGTGGGTGGGGTGGAGTGGATGGGTGCGTGAGTGGGTGGGTAAGTGGGTGGGTGGGTGGGGTGGAGTGGATGGGTGGGTGAGTGGGTGGGGTGGGTGAGTGGGTGGGGTGGAGTCGATGGGTGAGTGAGTGGGTGGGTGAGTGAGTGAGGGGGTGGAGTGGATGGGTGAGTGGGGTGGGTGAGTGAGTGGGTGGGGTGGGTGAGTGGGTGGGTGGGGTGGAGTGGATGGATGAGTGAGTGGGTGGGGTGGGTGAGTGGGTGGGGTGGGTGAGTGGGTGGGTGGGTGGGGTGGAGTAGATGGGTGAGTGAGTGGGGTGGAGTGGATGGGTGAGTGAGTGGGTGGGGTGGGTGAGTGAGTGGGGTGGGTGAGTGAGTGGTTGGGGAGCGGTGGTGTAGCAGTTAGCGCGCTGCACTACGAACCCGGCGACACAAGTTCGATTCCCGCTCACGACCTACAACAGTGGCGGATATTTTAACCGGGCCTGGGCCTCCTCTAGGTCGACTCAGCCTTGAGTGAGTGCCGTGTGCTATTGACGGACTGTCGGGGCAAGTGCAGTTAGCGAGCACCACGAGGGGGTGGTGTGGCCGTCACCCCGCCCGTCCGCCTTTGTCTCCCCAGTAGCGATGTTCACACACCACACCAGGTACTCATTTGAGGCCAAGTCGACCTCGGGGAGGTCCAAAATCCGCTGCCGCTGTGAGTATGACCGCCAGAGTCCACGTGTTGATGGTTTATGGGACTGTCCATACATGACGTCACGCACCTGGGGGGGGGGGTTAGACATTTGTGACGATGTGTGACAAGGAGGGGGGGGGTGGGGGTGAGAAATGTGACGTCACATCAAAATGCGCAACTTTAAATAAATATAGACAACACGTTCTACTTAATTAAATAGACTTTTTAATAAATGTTTTCTCATACAACATCAGAGTGCAGCGCCACATTAAATACGCACTACAATGACAATAGTTTAAAGTGATTTGAAGCATATTCTTGGTTCTTCCGGTAAAGTCACGTTGAAGGGAAACAATAAAATAATAAAATATATAAAACAATAAAATTCTCACGACGTTTCGACTGTAACACCTGATGATGACTGTTTGTGTTACAGTCGAAACGTCGTGAGAATTTTATTGTTATTTATTATTATTTTATTGTTTCCCTTCAACGTGACTTTACCGAAAGAACCAAGAATATGAATCACTGCAGTCACGAAAGCTTTAAATCAAAATGATTTGAAGCATGTTTTATTTTCAAAATGGAAATGTTTTTTTGGGGGGGGGAGGGAGGACAGAGCTTTGTGACGAGATCAGCTAAGGGGCATTGTGGGCACTTTGTGAGTGATGACTTCGACCTCTTCATGGTTTTTGTTCTTTGAGTGATTTGTTAACCTTTCATCGACAGCACTTTGCACTCCTATCATGTTTTTGGTATCGATATCACTGTAACGTTCTGACCCACGTGCCCCCTACCGGACATCTGCGAAAAAGAGCTTTTCAGCTCATCGAATTCCTCCAGTGTGAGTGTAGATTGTGTTTTTGTGTTATTCTGATATTCGTGCGGCAAAAACCGGAAGCCAATGCAGCTCAGCGAAGCACAAGACGGGCAACGGTGGCTAGCAGCCGTCACTCCGATTAGCACGGTGGGCTACGTACGGTGCGAAAGAAGTCCAACGTGCGGCACGTTCACATGATCAACGCACGTGGTGGTGGTTGCGGCGGGCCGATGGGGGAGCTTTGATCGTCAATTAATTTTTGCCTCGGTGAGGCGCGAGGAGATATGCAGGTGAGAGAAGAGGTGAGCTGAGAGAAACGCAGGTGAGAGAAGAGGTGTAGTGAGATGAGAGAGATGCAGGTGAGGGAAGAGGTGAGATGAGATGCAGGTGAGAGAAGAGCTGTAGTGAGATGAGAGAGACGCAGGTGAGAGAAGAGATGAGAGAGATGCAGGTGAGAGAAGAGGTGAGATGAGATGCAGGTGAGAGAAGAGGTGTAGTGAGATGAGAGAGATGCAGGTGAGAGAAGAGGTGTAGTGAGATGAGAGAGATGCAGGTAAGAGAAGAGATGAGAGAGATGCAGGTGAGAGAAGAGGTGAGATGAGAGAGACGCAGAGAAGAGGTGAGATGAAATGCAGGTGAGAGAAGAGGTGTAGTGAGATGAGAGAGAAGCAGAGAAGAGGTGAGATGAGAAAGACGCAGAGAAGAGGTGTAGTGAGATGAGAGAGACGCAGCAATAAAGTTCAACATACAGCAGCCCTGGCGACTACACCCCCCCTCCACCCCCCCTCCACCCCCCCTCCACCCCCGACCTTGCCCAGTGCTGCTCACGTGGATCAACTGCTGGAGCGTGCGCTGGGCAACACGTGTCCAGGACGTGTTCACGGCGGGCAAGCTCCTCGCCCTGGCGCTCATCGTCGTCATGGGCCTCGTGCAGATCTGCAAGGGTGAGTGAGCGGCACAACGGTGCCGCTGGTCGACGACGTGAATAGGAGATGTTAACGACCTCGCCCGGTACACAGGAGGTCGTGGGTTCAATCCCGATCCTGACGCCTGCTGCTGTATATATGCAGTTTGCGGTCTCTCTCTCTCTCTCGTCATCATCACTGTGGCTCGGAGATGTTAACTACCTCGCCTGGTACACAGGACGTCGTGGGTTCGATCCCGACCCTGACGCCTGCTGTGCATATTTGGAATTTGCGGTGTCTCTCTCTCTCCCTGTGGTCACGTGGAATTTTCTGCGGGTCCTCCGGTGTTTCCCCTTCACATTTAGAATCAACGTCACTCGTTTAGAGTCTTTGGCTGCTGCTATGAATTTCCACGTGATAAGCCGCTTCGTTGAGCTATCATTTGTGGTCAGGTCGCTTCTGAAAAAAAAAGCTAAACAGCTCAGTGGGGTCTTACCTGGTCAAACAAAACGTAGTTCAGTTGATAGTTTAGTTTGGATGTGCGTGTGTGTCGGGGGGAGCGGTAGTGCATAGCGGTTAGCGCGCTGCGCTACAAACCCGGCGTCCCGAGTTCGATTCCCGCTCACGGCCGGCGACGATTATCTGAACCGGTCCCGTAGGTCGACTCAGACGAGTAGCTGGTGCGGTGTGTAAACATCGCCACTGGGGAGACAAAGGCGGCCGGGCGTGGCGCTGGCCACCCACCCAACCCACGTGCGCCGTGCCTGCCTTGAGTAGCACCTCTGATTAGCACGGTTGGCTCGGCTCGGTACGGTGCGAAAAAAGTTCAACATACATACGTAGGTGCCCCCAGTAGCACTTGCCCCTATCGTCTGTTAAGGCTAAAAGGGGGGCAAGTTCGATTCGCCTAGGTCGACTCAGCCTCAAATCGGTACCTGGTGCGGTGTGTAAACGTCGCCGCTGGGGAGACAAAGGCGGCCGTGCGTGGTGCTGGCCACATGGTGCTGGCCACGCACCCCCACCTGCCGGCCTTGATAGGTGCTGCTCGCTGACAACACTTGCCCCTACAGTCTGTCGAGGCTATACGGGGGGTCTTTGTCTTTGATGCGGTCACGGTGCACCTCTCCTGTCACCCAGTGCGTCACTCGTGGTGTCACCCGGTGCGTCACTCACGGTGTCACCCGGTGCGTCACTCGTGGTGTCACCCGGTGCGTCACTCGTGGTGTCACCCGGTGCGTCACTCGTGGTGTCACCCGGTGCGTCACTCGTGGTGTCACCCGGCGCGTCACTCACGGTGTCACCCGGTGCGTCACTCACGGTGTCACCCGGTGCGTCACTCGTGGTGTCACCCGGTGCGTCACTCGTGGTGTCACCCGGTGCGTCACTCGTGGTGTCACCCGGTGCGTCACTCGTGGTGTCACCCGGCGCGTCACTCACGGTGTCACCCGGCGCGTCACTCACGGTGTCACTCGGTGCGTCACTCGTGGTGTCACCCGGTGCGTCACTCGTGGTGTCACCCGGTGCGTCACTCGTGGTGTCACCCGGTGCGTCACTCGTGGTGTCACTCGTGGTGTCACTCACGGTGCGTCACTCGTGGTGTCACTCACGGTGTCACCCGGTGCGTCACTCACGGTGTCACTCGGCGCGTCACTCACGGTGTCACCCGGTGCGTCACTCACGGTGTCACCCGGTGCGTCACTCATGGTGTCACCCCTCATGGACCGTACGAGACCATACAGAATCCTTAGTAATGTTTTTTGTACTAATGACAAAACCAGCGACTATAAGGAGCAGCGACGAACACAACAGCGCGTGCTCGTGGCGCGTGCACACGAAACCACGTGACTCGAAGCGTCACTTTCGTTGGGCAACATTGACTGCTCTGACCGGAGCGCATTAGAAGGTTCACAAAATAAATTAGCAGAGTTTTAGCCTTGTAGGTTGTATTGATACAGTACGCGCAAGCTGGGCTTACGAAAACATTTCTTGTTATATAACCACAAAGATATATTTTTTTAGTAAAAATACATTTCTGCTGAAACACTGCGCAAAAATTATTTATCGACAGTCATTTTGATGTCACCCCCCCCCCCCTCCTCTGATGGTGTCACCCGGTGCTGTCCGCACTCCCTGAGTGACGCCACTGCCTGTTGCCCCGCGATAGCGATCTTTAATTACACAATATTATCTCTGTCGCGATACGGAAATACGTCGGCTTCCACGGATAATTGGCGTCAGGAGTGGCGGAGTTGTCTGTCGCTGTGGTTACGATGATGATGATGTCTCCTATTGATCTGTGTGCGAGTCTATGGGGCTCTGTCTGTGTACGTCTGCATCTGAATCTATAGATCTCTGTGTGCGTCTGTGAGTCTCTGGGTCTCTGTGTGCACCTTTACATGTCAGCGGAGATGCACAAGCGCAAAAAAACGACTCAAGTGAAAGATCATAATACGTGTATATTGTACAGGCGACGTTTCAGACAATGACCCTACATTAAATCCTCACTGAATCTTACATATCATGATGTGAGTCTACGAGTCTCTGTGTGAGTCTCTGGGCTCTGGGTCTCTGCGTCTGTCCGTCCGTTCATCCGTCTCTTCATCCGTCAAAATATCTGTCTGGCTAACTCCCCGACCATCCATCTCTCCATCCATCTCTCCGTCTATTCATCCATCTCTCCATCCATTTATTCATCCATCTTTCCGTCCATTCATCCATCTCTCCATCCATTTATTCATCCATCTCTCCGTCCATTCATCCATCTCTCCATCCATTTATTCATCCATCTCTCCGTCCATTCATCCATCTCTCCATCCATTTATTCATCCATCTCTCCGTCCATTCATCCATCTCTCCATCCATTTATTCATCCATCTCTCCGTCCATTCATCCATCTCTCCATCCATTTATTCATCCATCTCTCCGTCCATTCATCCATCTCTCCATCCATTTATTCATCCATCTCTCCGTCCATTCATCCATCTCTCCATCCATTTATTCATCCATCTCTCCGTCCATTCATCCATCTCTCCATCCATTTATTCATCCATCTCTCCGTCCATTCATCCATCTCTCCATCCATTTATTCATCCATCTCTCCGTCCATTCATCAATCTCTCCGTCCATCTTCCCGTCCGTCCGTCCGCCTACCCCCCCGCCCCCGCGTCCCAGGTGAGTATCACTGGCTGGTGCCCGCGGTGGCGTTCCGCCCGTGGCAGGAGGTGCACGTGGGGGCCGTGGCCCTGGCGTTCCTGCAGGGGTCCTTCGCCTACGGGGGGTGGAACTTCCTCAACTACGTCACCGAAGAGCTCGTCGACCCCTACCGGTGGGCGAGCGGCGGTCCCTCCCGGCGGTTCCTCCCGGCGGTCCCTCCCAGCGGTTCCTCCCGGCGGTTCCTCTCGACGGTCCCTCCCGGCGGTTCCTCCCGGCGGTTCCTCCCAGCGGTCCCTCCCAGCGGTTCCTCCCGGCGGTCCCTCCCGGCGGTTCCTCTCGACGGTCCCTCCCAGTGGTCCCTCCCAGCGGTTCCTCCCAGTGGTCCCTCCCGGCGGTTCCTCCCGGCGGTCCCACTTGGTGGTCCCTCTCGTCGCGTCACGGCTCCCTCCCTCCCTCTCTCGCGCGTGCAGGAATCTCCCGCGAGCGATCTTCATCTCCATCCCGCTCGTCACCATCGTCTACGTGTCGGCCAACATCGCCTACGTCACCGCCATGTCTCCCCACGAGCTGCTCGCTTCCAACGCCGTGGCCGTGGTGAGTCGTCGTCGGCTACGTCGTCATCGTCGTCAGCAGTAACATCGTCATCGTTGTCGTCGTTAGCAGTAACATCGTCATCGTCGTCAGCAGTAACGTCGTCATCGTTGTTGTCATCAGCAGTAACGTCGTCATCGTCATCGTTGTCGTCGTCAGCAGTAACATCGTCATCGTCGACGTCGTCAGCAGTAACGTCTTCATCGTCATCGCCGTCAGCAGTAACATCGTCATCGTCATTGTCGTCAGCAGTAACATCGTCATCGTTGTCAGCAGTAAAATCGTCATCAGCAGTAACGTCATCATCAGCATCATCATCAGTTGCAACATCGTCATTGTTGTCATCATCATGATCGTCGTCGTCACCGGTAACGAGGTTTAATTAGCTGTGGGTAAATCGTCAATCAATCAGTCTCAAGTTTTACCTTCACATCGACTCATCCCCCCCCCCTACTCTCCATGCATCTCCTCTCCACCCCCCCGTGCCCCCCCTACTCTCCATGCATCTCCTCTCCACCCCCCGTGCCCCCCCTACTCTCCATGCATCTCCTCTCCATCCCCCCGTGCCCCCCCCCTACTCTCCATGCATCTCCTCTCCACCCCCCGTGCCCCTCCCCACTCTCCATGCATCTCCTCTCCATCCCCCCGTGCCCCCCCCCACTCTCCATGCATCTCCTCTCCACCCCCCCGTGCCCCCCTACTCTCCATGCATCTCCTCTCCACCTCCCCGTGCCCCCCCCTCTCTTCTCGGTGCGTGCCCCCCCCCCAGACGTTCGGAGAGAAGCTGCTGGGCCCCCTGTCCGTGCTGATGCCGTTCTCCGTGGCGTTGTCGACGTTTGGCGGAGTCAACGGATCCCTCTTCACCTCCTCCAGGTCGCACAGACAAGCCGAGTGTTGTTACACCACCACCACTAACAACAACAACAACACAGACAAGCCGAGCGTCGTTACACCACCAACAACAACAACACAGTCAATCCGAGTGTTGTTACACCACCACCACTAACAACAGCAACACAAACAAGCCGAGCGTCGTTACACCACCACTAACAACAACAACACAGACAAGCCGAGTGTTGTTACACCACCACCAACAACACAGACAAGCCGAGTGTTGTTACATCACCACCACTAACAACAACACAGACAAGCCGAGTGTTGTTACACCACCACCAACAACACAGACAAGCCGAGTGTTGTTACATCACCACCACTAACAACAACAACAACACAAACAAGCTGAGCGTCGTTACACCACCACCACTAACAACAACAACAACAACACAAACAAGCCGAGCGTCGTTACACCACCACCACTAACAACAACAACACAGACAAGCCGAGTGTTGTTACACCACCACCAACAACAACACAGACAAGCCGAGTGTTGTTACACCACCACTAACAACAACAACACAGACAAGCCGAGTGTTTTTACACCACCACCACTAACAACAACAACACAGACACTTTTGTCATCTGGCCACATGGCCGGCCTGCTCTAGACCAATTCTTCGACCACATCAATTCCATACACCCAGCCATCAGATTTACTATGGAAGTCGAAATAGATGGCAAGATACCTTTTTTGGATGTCCTAATTAAAAAGAGACCTGATGGTTCAATGAGCCACTCTATCTACAGGAAAGCTACCCATACGGATGCTTATCTGAAACCGGATTCCCACCACCATCCATCACAGAAGAATTCTCTCATCAAGACTCTGTATCATAGAGCCCAATGCATATCCGACCAGGAACAAATAAGCAGTGAACTCAAGCATGTACACCAAGCTCTTAGGGCTAATGGTTACTCCGACTATACAATCCGCAAAGCTATCACTCAAACCATGAAGAAGAACCCTCTTGAGGAGCCTTTCAAAACCATCACTTTACCCTACATTGCGGGGATCACAAAAAAGATCTCCAAAATCTTGAATAAACACAAGATCCAGGTCCGTTTCAACACATTACATAAAATCTGTGATCTGGTTCCGTCTGTAAAAGATGTGATTCCGGACATACAATACCCTGGTGTCTACAAACTAAGTTGCCTCTGTGGTAGTAGTTACATTGGAGAAACCAAACGCCATGTCTCGGACCGCATTCGTGAACACAAAGCAGACCTTAAACACGGTAGGACCAACACCTCGGCCGTGGCAGATCATTGTTCTAATTCAGTAGGCGCACATGCCATTCACTTTTCCAAGACAGAGGTTCTTTGTAAGCCATCTGGCTTCCATGAGAGATTCGTTCATGAGGCTATCCACATATACAAGCACAGAGACAATTTCAACCGAGAAGATGGATTCTATCTTAGCAATCATTGGAAAGATTTGATAAACCATTTCAGGTCTTAATTGATTGTTCACGCTTACAGTGGCTTTCAGACAGCATACATTATAAAAAATTTCGTCTCCCCCCTCCTCTTTTCAGAATATAGATGGACTAGTCCTGGGTAAACTGCCAAATCGTTGCGCGTGGTGCTAACGTTTTTTTTTATAAATAAATAAATGCGCCGTTTAAAAATAAATTTATGCGAACCAACACACCTGAAGATGACCGTTTGAGTTATGGTCGAAACGTCGTGAGAATTTTTTTATTGTTTTATATATATTTTATTATTTTGTTGTTTCTCTTCAACGTGACTTTACCGAAAAAACTAAGAATAAGCCGAGTGTTGTTACACCACCACCACTAACAACAACAACACAGACAAGCCGAGTGTTGTTACACCACCACCAACAACAACACAAACAAGCCGAGCGTCGTTACACCACCACCACCACTAACAACAACAACACAGACAAGCCGAGTGTTGTTACACCACCACCACTAACACCAACAACAACACAAACAAGCCGAGCGTCGTTACACCACCACCACCACTAACAACAACAACACAAACAAGCCGAGCGTCGTTACACCACCACCACTAACAACAACAACACAGACAAGCCGAGTGTTGTTACACCACCACCACCACCAACAACAACACAGACAATCCGAGTGTTGTTACACCACCACCACTAACAACAACAACACAGACAAGCCGAGTGTTGTTACACCACTAACAACAACAACACAGACAATCCGAGTGTTGTTACACCACTAACAACAACACAAACAATCCGAGTGTTGTTACATCACACCGCCTGCGCCTGGCCAGATGCACTCCGAGGCCACGCAGTCTGTCAGGAGGTCACGGGACAGGCAGGCAGACCCACCTCCGATTAGGCGAGGTTGGCTACGTACGGTGCGAGAGAAATTCAACATACGTACACACATACAACACCAACAACACCGCCACCAATACGGCTTTGCTAGATACCACCGACACCACCGCTGTTGCAATCTACACAACCACCTACACGTGCGTCATTATCACTTGCCTCGTCACTACCACCACCTACCTACATAACCACCACCACCACCAAAAGCAGAGATCCCCCGTATAGCCTTTAACAGACTGTTGGGGCAAGTGCTGTTAGCGAGCAGCAGCTATGAAGCCTGGCACGGAACACGAGGTGGTGTTGTCAACACCAAGCACGGCCGCCTTTGTCTCCCCAGTGGCGATGTTTACACACCGCACCTGGGTTACTCATTTGAGGCCGAGGCGACCTAGGGGAGACCAAGGACGAGTTTAGGAGTTCGTCACTGGTGTTGGTCGTGAGCGGGAGTCGAACTCGGATCGCCAGCAACAACAAGGCAACATTTACTGCTCACATTACCAACATCACCAGCACTGACATCACATACACCACCGTGTGTGTGTGTCTGTCTGTAATCCATCTATGTGCCCCTTATGTCTGTCTGTCTGGGGGGAGCAGCGGTTAGTGCACCGTCCATCCATCTGTCTGTCCGTCCATGTGTCTGTACATCCGCCAGTCTGTCTGTCTGTCCATCCGTCCATCGTGTGTCTGTCCGTCCATCCATGTCTGTCCATCAGTCCGTTCTGTCCGTCTGTCCATCCATCCGCTCGTCGAGCCTTCAGCCCGTCAACCCGTCCGTTCATCTGTCCACGTGTCCGTCCGTCCATCCGCCCGTCTATCCATCCGTCTGTCTGTCCGTCTGTCCGTACGTCTGCGTGTCCCCAGGCTGTTCTTTGCCGGTGCGCGTGAAGGCCACCTGCCGGGGCTGCTCGCCATGATCCACGTGGAGCGCTGCACCCCCATCCCCGCGCTGCTCTTCACGGTAACCCCCCCACCCTCCGATCCAGCGGCGATCAAAACGTAAAGGCGCAGGACCCTTACAATTGCCCGCGGCCTTCCGCGCCAGAGGCCGCCCTGGTGGAGGATGTTTGGCCTACTCTTCCGCGCCAGCGAAGACGTCTCGGCGGGAGTGCCCGGACATTCTCGCCCCGCCGGGCTCACGACCTTCAGTTTAATTTGTTCAGTTTCATTTATTAGGTACTAGCTGTACTACCCGGCTTTGCCCGGGACTTGGATTCACCACGCCTGCCGCCTTTGTCTCCCCAGTGGCGATGTTCACACAGCAGAGCAGTTACTCGTTTGAGGCTGAATCGACCTAGGGGAGGCCCAGGACCGGTAAAAATAATCGTCACCGGTGGTGGCCGTGAGTGGGAATCGAACTCGGGTCGCTGGGTTCGTAGCGCGGCACGCTAACCGCTACACTACAATCCGTTACGCTTCCACACAGACACACACAGACACATACACAGCGCGCTAACCACTACACTACAATGCGTTACGCTTTCACATGCGCCGGTCACATGACAGATTTGACGTCAAAGCTCACTTGCCGTGCAAAAAATGGATGCATTATTGAGGTCCCCCCCCCCCCCAAAAAGTGTATTTTTATAATTTTTGCATGGTGTACCGTCTGGAATGTACCCACATGACAAATTTCAAGTTTGTTACATGTCGGGAAGTACGCTAAACATTTTGAACAGACAAACATTCACAACTTTGCCTTTTATATATATGTGGAGATAGCCCTGTGAGCCATGCGGCTTTTGACTCGGGTGCAACCGCAACAAACAAAAACATGAACAAGGAAAAAACAGCAAAGTCTTCCAGAAAAAGCACCGTACACAAACGCTGTGTGCAAAAATCCCAGTGTGATGCAAGTCAAACAATAACAACCATAAGACAATTTAGATGAAAGTTATCAGTCTAACTCTGTACTACAACAAACAAACATGGATAAACCCCAAACGTTTTCGAAATCTCCAAAATAAAGCTATAAAATACAATGTAACAACAGTAATCATAGGAACTGTGATTAAAATTTAACAATAAACGATATACATAACATGTACGACCAAACTTTGCAGCCACGGACCTGCCCATCGACCGGCTCTCGCAGGCGCACCTTCTATACTGCGGCGTGGAAGGGAACCGGGAGGATTTGAGAAACTATTCGCCGTCGATTTGAAGCTTTCGTGACTGCAGGAATCCATACTCTTTGGTTCTTTCGGTCAAGTCGCGTGGGTAGAAATAAATTATTCGCCGTAGATTTCAACTCCCACGTAGGGGTAGATCGAACCGGCGGCCTCTGCGCAGCGAGACGTTACCGTGCTAAACCATTACGCGCAAAGCGGCGGAGGCAGCTTGCTAACGAAACACGAACGTTCCCGGTGCAGTGATTTCATTTATTTCATGGACTCAAATCCCGTCGCCAAAACTCCGCCGGTGCCTCTGCCGCCAACCGATTTGGCGGCGGCCTCAACGGCCCCGAGGCCGCACCGAGCGGTTGCGGCGGTCGTCTGCGGCGCCGTCTCCCGGCGACGCGGCCACCGCGCCGGCAGCGGGGAACCACCGCGGGGGAGGGCAAGCCGCTGGGCGACGCGCGAACGAGGACGCGCGCCCACGAGCGCTTGCCCCAGGTCGACTCAGCCTCAAATGAGAACCTGGCGCGGTGTGTAAACATCGCTACTGGGGAGACAAAGGCGGCCGGGCGTGGTGCTGGCCACCCCACCCCCTCGTGTGCCGTGCCGGCCTTCGTAGGTGCTCGCGAACAGCACTTGCCCCGACAGTCTGTTAAGGCTACACGGGATGGATCTTTGTGTGCGTGCGTGCGCGTGGTGCAGCGGTTAGCTAGCACGCTGCGCTACGAACCCGGCGAGCCGAGTTCGATTCCCGCTCGCGGCCACCACCACCAGGGGCGATTTATCTGAACCGGTCCAGGGCCTCCACCTAGGTCGACTCGGCCTCAAACGAGTACCCGGTGCGACGCGCGAACGTCGACGCTGGGGAGACAAAGGCGGCCGTGGTTGCTGGCCGCCTTCACGGGTGCCGCCCGGTTGAGGCTACAGGCGGGGACGACTCCTGCGTCCCTCTCTCGCAGTGCGTGACGACGCTGCTGATGCTGCTGACGAGCGACATGTACACCCTCATCAACTACGTCGGCTTCATCAACTACCTCTTCTACGGGGTGGCTGTGGCGGGGCTGCTCGTGCTGCGGTGGACGAAGCCGGACATCCCACGGCCGATCAAGGTAGCCGGGGCGGTCTAGGCGCGGTGACGCCGCCGCAGATTGATTCGACCTCGGCGATGCATTGGAAGGGAACAAAAAATAATGATGAAAACGGAACTGTTTTTATTGTACCAGGTAAGGCCCCACTGAGCTATGTAGCTATTTTTCAGAAGCGACTCTGGCTGTCACGAATGATGGCTCCACGAGCGGCGGCTTATCACGTGGAGATTTATGGCGGCAGCCAGATGCTCTAAACGCGTGGCGTCCTTTGTAAATGTGGAGGGGGGAAAACATCCCCGGAGGATCCGGAGATAAATCCAAGCGACCACGGAGAAAGAGAGAGAGAGAGGTGAACTCCCAGCTAGGCATCGGCAACTTTTCAAACGAGAGACATGTTGCTTGCTTTTGCTCTTTTTACCGAAATAGTTTTAAGAGCCGCCGCACCACACGCACAGCAGCAGGTATAAAGCAGATGACGATAACACACACATTCGGACTTGGTGATGGAATAAACCGCGTTTCTTTAGTTCCCCCACCCCTCCCCCGAGTTATTCTTTAACAATAACATTTTGACTGTGGTACATTTTGTCGTCACCAAGACATTCCACAGTGACCCCATTCCCTGCAATATTTTAATCGATTGCCTTATGTAAAATTACGTATCAGATTAAAAAAAGGCTGCCCGCAAAGGGGGGGAGGGGGGGGTGGGGCAGCCGAAGAGCCGCTACACACGCGGCTCCAGATGTGAGCCACCGGGGAAGGCAGACGAGTGAAGTAGATGGAGAGCCAGATAGAGAGACAGAGCGTCAAACAGACAGAGAGACAGACAGAAAGAGCGCCAGAAAAACAGAGAGACATAGAGAGACAGAGAGCCAGATAGAGAGCCAGATAGACAGAGAGCCAGACAGACGGACAGAGAGCCAGACAGAGCCAGACAGACAGAGAGCCAGACAGACAGAGAGCCAGACAGACAGAGAGCCAGCCAGACGGACAGAGAACCAGACAGAGCCAGACAGACAGAGAGCCAGCCAGACGGACAGAGAGCCAGACAGACAGAGCCAGACAGACTGAGCCAGACGGACAGAGAGCCAGACAGATAGAGAGCCAGACAGACAGAGAGCCAGACAGACAGAGAGCCAGCCAGACAGACAGAGAGCCAGACAGACAGAGAGCCAGCCAGACAGAGAGCCAGACAGAGCGGTGGTGGACGGGTTCAAGGTCACGATGGCCGCGCCGGTCTCTGAATTTTTTTTCGTGGAATGTCTGCCCCACCTCTTCCCACCACCCCACCCTGTGCCGAACTCGCATTGAAATGAAAAACAACGATGAACTAAATCAGGCTACGATGGCCGTGGAGCAGCCGTGGTGGCGGCTAAAGGTCGTGTGCGTGTCGCCCAGTGGTGGATAAAGCGAGTGCGGGGCCTGTAGCAAATGTTATAAAGGGGCCCTAAAATAAATATAAAAAACACGTAAATATTAAAACATACATTTTTTTACTTGCATAGTAAAGTCATTGTATTTTTTTTTCATTTGCTATACAGCCAGACAATACGGGAAATCGCTAACCTTAAACACCCAGTCGTTCTTAAAAAATCAAGCCGGTATAGTACTATAGTTATAGAGCAAGTGCAGAATCACTGAACCGGAATTGATAGCTTGAAAGCGTTTAGCGCGGGGCCCTTGAAAGTGCGGGACCCGTAGCTACTACACATATGCATGTGTAGTAGCTACTACATATGTAGTAGCTACTACACATGCAGCTACTACACATGTAGCTACTACACATGTAGCTACTACACATGTACAGTGAGGGAAAAAAGTATTTGATCCCCTGCTGATTTTGTACGTTTGCCCACTGACAAAGAAATGTTCAGTCTATAATTTTAATGGTAGGTTTATTTGAACAGTGAGAGACAGAATAACAACAAAAAAATACAGAAAAACGCATGTCAAAAATGTTATACATTGATTTGAATTTTTATGAGGGAAATAAGTATTTGGCCCCTCTGCAAAACATGACTTAGTACTTGGTGGCAAACCCCTTGTTGGCAATCACAGAGGTCAGACGTTTCTTGTAGTTGGCCACCAGGTTTGCACACATCTCAGGAGGGGCTTTGTTCCACTCCTCTTTACAGATCTTCTCCCAGTCATTAAGGTTTCGAGGCTGACGTTTGGCAACTCGAACCTTCAGCTCCCTCCACAGATTTTCTATGGGATTAAGGTCTGGAGACTGGCTAGGCCACTCCAGGACCTTAATGTGCTTCTTATTGAGCCACTCCTTTGTTGCCTTGGCTGTGTGTTTTGGGTAATTGTCATGCTGGAATACCCATCCACGACCCATTTTCAATGCCCTGGCTGAGGGAAGGAGGTTCTCACCGAAGATTTAACGGTACATGGCCCCGTCCATTGTCCTTTTGATGCGGTGAAACTGTCCTGTCCCCTTAGCAGAAAAACACCCCCAAACCATAATGTTCCACCTCCATGTTTGACGGTGGGGATGGTGTTCTTGGGGTCATAGGCAGCATTCCTCCTCCTCCAAACACGGCGAGTTGAGTTGATGCCAAAGAGCTTCATTTTGGTCTCATCTGACCACAACACTTTCACCCAGTTGTCCCCTGAATCATTCAGATGTTCATTGGCAAACTTCAGACGGGCATGTAAATGTGCTTTCTTGAGCAGGGGGACCTTGCGGGCACTGCAGGATTTCAGTCTTTCACGGCGTAGTGTGTTACCAATTGTTTTCTTGGTGACTATGGTCCCAGCTACCTTGAGATCATTGACAAGATCCTCCTGTGTAGTTCTGCGCTGATTCCTCACCGTTCTCATGATCATTGCAACTCCACGAGGTGAGATCTTGCATGGAGCCCCAGGCCGAGGGAGATTGACAGTTCTTTTGTGTTTCTTCCATTTGCGAATAATCGCACCAACTATTGTCACTTTCTCACCAAGTTGCTTGGCAATGGTCTTGTAACCCATTCCAGCCTTGTGTAGGTCTACAATCTTGTCCCTGACATCCTTGGAGAGCTCTTTAGTCTTGGCCATTGTGGAGAGTTTGGAATCTGATTGATTGATTGCTTCTGTGGACAGGTGTCTTTAATACAGGTAACAAGCTGAGATTAGGAGCACTCCCTTTAAGAGTGTGCTCCTAATCTCAGTTCGTTGCCTATATAAAAAACACCTGGGAGCCAGAAATCTTTCTGATTGAGAGGGGGTCAAATACTTATTTCCCTCATTAAAATGCAAATCAATTTATAACATTTTTGACATGCGTTTTTCTGGAATTTGTTGTTGTTATTCTGTCTCTCACTGTTCAAATAAACCGACCATTAAAATTATAGACTGATCATTTCTTTGTCAGTAGGGGATCAAATACTTTTTTCCCTCACTGTAGCTACTACACATGTAGCTACTGCACATGTAGCTACTACACATGTAGTTACTACACGTGTAGTAGCTACTACACATGTAGCTACTACACACGTAGCTACTTTTGCGACGGGGATTATAATCCGGCACTGGTGTCGCCCCCGCCGACCCCACCTTGTCGCGCCGCGCACAGGTGAGCGTCGCGTTCCCCATCATCTACCTCCTCTTCTGGGCCTTCCTGCTCGTCTTCAGTCTCGTGTCGGAACCCGTGGTGTGTGGCGTGGGCCTCGCCATCATGCTCACCGGCGTGCCCGTCTACTACATGGCCGTCTACTGGCACAACAAGCCCAAGTGCCTGGACAGCTTCGTCGGTACGCCGGCTGACGGCTCTTCACCCCGCGCGCGAGGGGTGACGCCGCTGCCGCTGGCTCCTTCCCCGCTCGCCTGCGGTTCTTGCTCCTTCTGGCGCTTCTGAGTCGTCCTCTCACTCTCCGAGTCGTCCTCTCTCTCTCCGAGTCGTCCTCTCTCTCTGCGAGTCATCCCCTCTCTCTCCGAGTCATCCCCTCTCTCTCCGAGTCGTCCTCTCTCTCCGAGTTATCTCTCTCTCCGAGTCGTCCTCTCTCTCTTAGAGTCATCCCCTGTCTCTCCGAGTCATCCCCTCTCTCTCCGAGTTGTCCTCTCTCTCTCCGAGTCATCCCCTCTCTCTCCGAGTCATCCCCTCTCCGAGTCATCCTCTCTCTCTGAGTCGTCCCCCCGCTGTCCCATGTGTCCTCTCTGGCGAGATGTCAACTACCTCGCCTGCTATGCAGGAGGTCGTGAGTTCGATCCCGACCCTGGCAACGCCTCTATATTTGGAGTTTGCGTGTTTCTCTCGCCGTGACCGTGTGGACTTTTCTCCGGGTCCTTTGGTTCTTCACACCACATGTAGAACTAATGCGCGTTTAGAGTATTTGGCTGCTGCTATACATTTCCACGTGATAAGCCACTTCGTTGAGCTGTCATTTGTGGCCAGGTCACTGCTGAAAAGAGCTATATAGCCCAGTGGGGCCTTACCTGGTAAAACAAAAAAAAGTAACATTACTATATAGACTGGCGACACTCGGTACAGCGGGTTTAATCAACGGATTTGTTTTAATTGTCCTTTATCTTCCTCCCGCAGAATGCATCACCTATTTGTGCCAGAAGATGTGCGTCGTCGTTTACCCCGAGGAAACGCATGTGGCGGCGAAGGCGGACTCCGACGACAAAATGGCGGCCGAGCACGTGACCGAGCCCTCGGCCAATCGCGCAGAGGCAGGAGGCGACTCGAGTAAAATGGCCGACAAACTGGAGGCGTGAAACGGCGACTATGGGCACGTGCGATCGCGGGTTTAAGTGGTCCCCTGTGTAAAAAAAAAAAACCCCCACCATATACACATTACACACGCACGCACACCGAATGTTTAGCTACGCTAGCATTGACAAGTGAATGCTCGGGTGGAATAACGGCTCTCTTCGTAAGCAATTGGGAATTTTTTTTCATTTATACAACTTTTCCACTGCCACATTCGAGCCGAGCCAACGCGGGGCCGTCTAGTTTTGGATTTTAGATTTGTTTAAATGACACTTTTTAACGACTTGAAAGCATCGTCCTGACTTTTACCCACAATCCTGTGCTATGATATAACAAATATATGGCCACTCTTATTTTAAATGGACCTTTGGACTGGGTGACTAAGACGAATTGAGTAAAAGATTTTCCCATTAGTTTCCTGTCCAAATAATTGTAAAATATAAAAGGCCTTTTAAAACATAGGAGCTTATACAACTTGCCACACAAATGTGTTTTCTTTTTACGTTAACCTTTCGTAAGGGTGTGGCGTGTGTTTTTTAGACCATTGTGGAACTCTTCGAAGTAAAAGCCGGGTGGCGGTTGCATACGCTGCTGCTGCACGTGGCTGCTGCTAGGGTTGGTGGATCACCGTACACACAAGATGTTGTGAAACTCCCTTCCCCGCGGGGCATTGAGGGGGAGCCGTAAGCCTGCCTCGCCAGGAGAAGACGGGGCAGCAACAGCAACAAATGTGGGCATCTCATTGAAGCTCTGCTACAGAATCGTAATATTTATTTCTACTGGAAGAGGAATCCAATGGGCGATAAAGCTCTTTATCCACAGATGTCCAGTAGGAGGGGCAGGTCAGAACGTGATAACAAACAATACATAAACACGATAGAAGTGAAAAGTATAGGAAAGGTAAACAAATCCCTTTAAAATATATACAAATAAAACGAAACAATTGTTTTATTTTACCAGGTGAGGCCCACTGAGCTATTAGCTTCTTTTTCAGAAGCGACCTGGTCACAAATGATACCCCCCCCCCCCCCCAAGGTGGCTGATCACGTGGACATTTATAGCAGCAAAAATAATCGAGATAATCCCCTTGCTGCATTTGACTGCTATCTCTTAACCGCCTTTACCCATGGATCTCAGCAGCGGGTTTCAGGAGTTTCCCACCATCTCTGCGTGACCCATCAACCCCTTGCCCCTCAAGCGGCTGTATTGCAGGCTGTTGTGCACCACCCACGCTGCACCTGCCCCTTCGTAGTCGCGCGCAGATTGCGAAGTTATCGCATGAGCCAAATGATGTGGCGAGATGTTAACGATCTCGCCTGGTGTACATGAGGTCGTGGGCTCGATCACGACCCTGACGCCTGCTGCTGTGTGTTTGGAATTTGCGTGTCTCAACTCTCTCCCCGTGGTCACGTGGTTTTTTCTCCGGGTCCTTTGGTTTTTCCCCTCCACATTTAGAATCAACGTCACCACGCGTTTAAAGTGTTTGACCGACATAAATTTCCACATGATAAACCTACTTCTTTGAGCTATCATTTGGGGCCAGGTCGCTTCTGAAAAAGAGCTACGTAGCTCAGTGGACCCTTACCTGGTCAAATAAGAAAAACAGTTTTAGTTTATAGAGCTTTCGCTTTCTTGCTGTGCTCAAAAGTAATGTGGCCTTGTCTCTCCTGCTGCTGTATCGTACACGTGGTTGTGTGTGAGTGCGTTGATTGGCAACTAATGTGCGGTATTCACAAGCTGGGCGACGTGCCAGGGAATGGCCAACATTCTTTCGCTGCTGCTGCTGTTGTTGTTGGTGTGGCTTTCATCAAATGTGTAAGCAACGACACGAACCCCCGCCATAATAATCGCCATTATCGTATCGTTGTCATTGTCGTCGCAACAGAATAACGGGTGCAGGCTGGGAAACTATTACGTTTACAACGGACGACGACAATCGCGTAAAAACGTGTCAATCACGTGAGACAAAATGTGCGTAACGACAACTGAATCATTTGGCGGGACCCCGGGGTTCCGCAAACATCAGGTCAATAATAATTATTTTTCTTCAGTCCGCCCATTCGTGATCCCGACTGCAACGCGCTGCCCGCCCAGACTTGCGCCAACAAGCGCCAGCAGGCGGCGATCGACACGATGGGCGCCATCCCACCGGTCAAACGCAAGCCCCGGGGGGGCGTCCGCCGCAGTCGCGCGCGGCGACGACGCCCTCCGGTCAGCCGTCGATCCTCAGCTTCTTTGCCAAGGCGAGCCCTGCCTCCCAGGCAGTGAATTTAACGTGTTTATGTAATTTGTTAACTTTTTACGAAACTTAGTGCCCCGAGTAGCTCTCGACGAGGCCAATCGATTGACACTAGTTTTGTTGTCGGTAAGGCAGCAAGACTCGTGTCGCTATGCGGTTTTTCCCACCCCGGGGCAGTGATGGTAACGCCGGGGTCCCGCCAATTGCTTCATTACTGTTAAAAAAGCAACCCCACCAGCAGCTCTTAAAGAACTGTACAGCATCGCGATACCTCGTCGTCTTGGATCGCCGTGACAAACTGATTCGAGCAAATGACGTAGCGATGACAAACGTGATGGTGCATTTGCTTTCGGCCTCATTAAGACTCATCAGCCCAGTACGGTTCAGCAACGCTCACTGCTGCAAAAACGGCTGCCCAGCCTGGCATCTGGGAAGCGCGCCGAAAGGTGTCGGTGTAGCCTAGACGGCGGGGTGGCATTTGATGAACCCCTTTCCCGTTCCGAGACGACTGCAGGTTGCGGTGGTGGTCCTGTTCACCGCCGAATCTCGTTCATTTTATTTAGAGAGGCGTAGCAGCGCCGTCGTTTTTGAAGACGTCGTTACCGCAGAGAACCGCAGCGACACGACTGCCGCGCTCTACGATAGCCGGCGCCAAACCGTGCCACACGCCCCTACCGCATGGCCTATTAACTTCAGGTTTGATGACGTACACGTGTGTGTACGTACGTGTACGTCATCGGAACGGAATTGGGGGGGGGAGGCAAAGCTGTTTTTATGACGTAGACGTCATCGGAATGCGAAAGGGATAAACATCTTGCTGGTATGCATTACCCACCAATCACAGCCTCGTGTCCTTCTTGATTGAACAGATTATTCGGTGGTGGTGCTGCTGCGTTGACAGTGCTGAACAAGCACAAAGCAACACGTGGCCTTAACTTGAAAATGTTATAAATATGCGGCGACGTTTAATGCAATGAAAGAGGGCCATTGCCCGAAACTTCGCCTATTATATATTTTCCCCCTATAAAGGCCACACACACACACACAATGTTGTCGACGAATGTGTTCAGGATTATTATTTTTATTTGTGAAATGAGATCGGGATTAGAAAACAGTCGTAGCAATGTGCTCGTTATTTGTTTTTCAAGTTGGTACTGAGAGTTAACAAAGTAGAGGTTATATGTTGCCGTGTTGTCCGTGTGTTCTGACATTACTGTTGTAAACTGTTACAGACGAACTGCGTGGTACCAGCGACTGGACACAAAACAACCATCCTGTTAAATTTGATTTTAAAAAATAATATGCTTTAACCTTAATAGAGGTTTTTTTGATTGAAAGCTTTCGTGACTGCAGGGATTCATATTCTTGGTTCTTTCGGTAAAGTCACGTAGAAGGGAAACAATAAAATAATAACAAAATAATGTTTTATTGTTTCCCTTCTACGTGACTTTATCGAAAGAACCAAGAATATAGAGGTTATTTTTTTTAGGTTAGATCGTGTAAATATATAAATAAATAGCAAGGTTGTTTTGTAAACAAAACTTGCCAATTTGACAAACCTTGCGAATTGGCTGTGTCGGGTGGTGGCGGGTTTAACGACACACTTATCAATTTTGTTTTAAAGCTTTCGTGACTGCAGGGATTCATATTCTTGGTCACGTGACCAAGAATATGACTTTACCGAAAGAACTAAGGACACATTGATATCTTCTTTGGTTCTTTCGGTAAAATCACACATTGATATTTACGCGATCTAACCCCCCCCCACCTCTCTATTATGGATAATATTGGTCGTGAAAGCCTAATTCGTGTTAAACTGCTTTAACCCTTCCGACAATAATACAAGAGGCGTTAAGATGCTCAAACGCCACATTGCCAACCTATTTTGCAAGGCGTCAAGTCTGCATTAATCACAAATCATGCTTGTGGTAAGCAACATGCAAACAAACATGCTTTGATAATAACGTGTAGCGCGATGTATTTGAACTTAGACTGGCCTACGGCTGGTTGCTGCGCCAGTGTTAGGACCAGAGAACCCCCCACCCACCCCAAAAAAAAAGGCGAAACAGGATCTGTATTTTGATTTAAAGCTTTCGTGACTGCAGGGATTCATATTCTTGTTTCGTTCGGTAAAGTCACGTAGAAGGGAAACAATAAAATATATTTTTATTATTTCAACAATGGATGCATTTTATTTATTTATTTTATTGTTTTAATAATATATATTTATTATTTTATTGTTTCCCTTCTACGTGACTTTACCGAAAGAAATATATATTTTTTTTTATTGTTTCACTTCTACGTGACGTTACCGAAAGAACCAAGAATACGAATCTGTATTTATTCTGGAGGAATCCGATGAGCTATAAAGCTAATTTTTGTTTGTTCACAGACCTCCAGTATGTATTCCCCCACAGTAATAAATGGCGCAAAAAAAGGGAATGAAAATATCAACGCAATTAACAGCTCGGGTAAATACATTTGTTTTGTGCTCATAATTTGTCAGAATTCCAGCTATGAGATTTGTGCCCTTGAGAAAACTCGGCGGTGTGTGTCCGGGCGGGCCCCGGTAGCGGTCTCGAGCAGGGGGTTGGAAATCGACTTAACAAAGAAGAGACGGATTTTTTTTTTCCGCGAATTGAGTCGACTAATTCAAGAGCCCGCAATCCACTGCGGTGGTGAAATCGAGACTGCGTTTGGTCCTTAATAAACGACGCGTCAGGGGCCGTCCATAAATGACGTCACGCACCTGGCGGGGGGGGGGGGGTCAGACATTCGTGACGATGTGTGACGAGAAAAGGGGGGTTTGAGAAATGTGACTTTAAATA